GTATTGGAACCCATTTTGAAATAACTGTCGAAATAACTATAAGATATATAGTTAGATATAAGATAACTATAACTATAGATATGACAAAATGTTGTGGAATCCGACGAATTCGCTGAATTTCTTTAAAACGTAGCACTTCTATGGCATCGAAGTATTAGTTGTAGTTCAAATCTATTTATCAGAGTTCTGGCATTATTTCTAAGTCTGGGTTATAAAATACTATTAAATTGTCGACTAGTGGCTCGTATTAAGGCCCTTTTTTCAAACCGCATGGAATATTTTTTCTGAGTGTTGGGGCGAAGGAGTGTGGGCAACCCAATTTCCGAAGTCAAAAGTGGCACCAGATGACGGCGTGCGCCGTCCGTTTGTTCTGTTCCAAGGACCGGGCCAGAAAGGGACGGGGAGAGAGGTCCTGCTGGAGAAGGAGGAGGAAAAGATCGTTCAAAGATGGCATATGTTGCGCCTTGGCTCTATCTCGCTTTGGCCAGTGCCTTCGGAGTGGGTCCTTTTCGCTGGCTTTCACTCGCACGCCACGCGGCTCGTCCTGCAGACAGCCAACAACAATAACGATTATTCCTCATTGTGTGCGCAAGACGCGCCAGTTGGTCGCAGGCGGAAACCTCGATCCTCCAGCCTCGAGCATCCATATTCATGTATGTACATAGTAGGCAACTGCTAGCTAGCTAGCTCCCGGCGGCTAAGAGCGATCCGCTCTTGGTTCAGTTACAGTTATCCAAAAGTTCGGCAGTAGCACTTTGGAGCCCACGCAATTAAAGGTGCATCAATCAAAATTAAAGACAATCGGGCAGCGATTTTTAACCGCCATCTAGGCACGTCAGCCGAATTCTAAAAGAAGACGGCCCTTTGATATGCGAATCTTCCGACAATATCGCTTGTGCCAATATGTATGTCTCAAGGTAAGGACCATTAAATTCAAATTAATGCTTAATACCTGACAATATCAACGAACTCATTCGAATTGTGCTTAATCTCAAACCAAATACGTGCCTAAATTCTCATTTTAGTCTCATTTAGACTAATTTAAAGCCTAAACTTAATAATAATAATAAGAACAACACGATAGAATGCTATAGTCGAGTTCCCCGACTATCAGATACCCGTTACTCAGCTAGTGGAAGTGCAAACAAGAAATTTCAACATTTTCTGGAATATCAGTAGAAATTGGGAAAAAAATAATAAAATGAGAAAAACTTAACAATTTTTTAAAAGTGTGGGCGTGGCAAAAAGTTTGCGAATCTATAGAAATATTCAAGATAAAAAATTGAAAAAATGGCACAGTTTTCAAAAGTGACAGTTTTAGGTGGTTTGTGGGCGCTATGCGCCTATGTCTCTGGAAGCTGCATGCTCAATCTCAACATTCTAGCCCTTGTAGTTCCTGAGATCGAGGCGTTCAAACGGACAGATGGAATACGGACGAGTAACGGGTATAATTACAAAAAATTAAATTTAAAAAATTTTCAGAATTTCTACAACATCATACACCAAAAAAAATTAAGAAAAAATTTAAAAAAAAATGAATATTTAAATTCAGATTTGTAGGAAAGTGCGCCAGAAACATTAAGAGGTATGCCGCGTCAAAATCCGATTCAGATAAGTTGAGGTTTGGAGTTTAGAACTTCAGCCTTGAGCCATTTCTTAATTTGTTTGAATTTGTACAACATCATAACATCAGAAAAATTGACAGAAAATTAAAAAAAAAATAAATTTCCTAATTTGAATGTAGATTTTTAGATTATTGCACCAGAAACATTTAGAGGTATGCCACTTCAAAATCCGATTAAGATAAGTTGAGTTATGGAGTTTAGAACTTCAGCCTTGGGACATTTTTTAATTTTTACATCATACATCAGAAAAATTGACAAAAAATTAAAAAAAAATAAATTTCTAAATTTGAATGCAGATTTTTAGAGAATTGCACCAGAAACATTTAGAGGTATGCCACTTCAAAATCCGATTAGGATAAGTTAAGTTATGGAGTTTAGAACTTCAGCCTTGGGGCATTTCTTCATTATTTTTAATTTCTTCAACATCATACATCAGAAAAATGACAAAAATAATTAAAAAAAAAATAAATTTCCTAATTTGAATGTAGATTTTTAGATAATTGCACCAGAAACATTTAGAGGTATGCCACTTCAAAATCCGATTAAGATAAGTTGAGTTATGGAGTTTAGAACTTCAGCCTTGGGACATTTTTTAATTTTTACAACATCATACATCAGAAAAATTGACAAAAAATTAAAAAAAAATAAATTTCTAAATTTGAATGCAGATTTTTAGAGAATTGCACCAGAAACATTTAGAGGTATGCCACTTCAAAATCCGATGAGGATAAGTTAAGTTATGGAGCTTAGAACTTCAGCCTTGGGGCATTTCTTCATTTTTTTGAATTTCTTCAACATCATACATCAGAAAAATGACAAAAATAATTTAAAAAAATAAATTTTTTAATTTGAATGCAGATGTTTAGAGAATTGCACCAGAAACATTTAGAGGTATGCCACTTCAAAATCCGTTTAGGATAAGTTGAGTTATGGAGCTTAGAACTTCAGCCTTGGGGCCTTTCTTCATTTTTTTGAATTTCTTCAACATCATACATCAGAAAAATGACAAAAATAATTTAAAAAAATAAATTTTTTAATTTGAATGCAGATGTTTAGAGAATTGCGCCAGAAACATTTAGAGGTATGCCACTTCAAAATCCGATTAGGATAAGTTAAGTTATGGAGTTTAGAACTTCAGCCTTGGGGCATTTCTTCATTATTTTTAATTTCTTCAACATCATACATCAGAAAAATGACAAAAATAATTAAAAAAAATAAATTTTTAAATTTCAATGCAGATGTTTAGAGAATTGCACCAGAAACATTTAGAGGTATGCCACTTCAAAATCCGATTAGGATAAGTTGAGTTATGGAGCTTAGAACTTCAGCCTTGGGGCCTTTCTTCATTTTTTTGAATTTCTTCAACATCATACATCAGAAAAATTGACAAAAAATTAAAAAAAAATAAATTTCTAAATTTGAATGCAGATTTTTAGAGAATTGCACCAGAAACATTTAGAGGTATGCCACTTCAAAATCCGATGAGGATAAGTTAAGTTATGGAGCTTAGAACTTCAGCCTTGGGGCATTTCTTCATTTTTTTGAATTTCTTCAACATCATACATCAGAAAAATGACAAAAATAATTAAAAAAAATAAATTTTTTAATTTGAATGCAGATGTTTAGAGAATTGCACCAGAAACATTTAGAGGTATGCCACTTCAAAATCCGTTTAGGATAATTTGAGTTATGGAGCTTAGAACTTCAGCCTTGGGGCCTTTCTTCATTTTTTTGAATTTCTTCAACATCATACATCAGAAAAATGACAAAAATAATTTAAAAAAATAAATTTTTTAATTTGAATGCAGATGTTTAGAGAATTGCGCCAGAAACATTTAGAGGTATGCCACTTCAAAATCCGATTAGGATAAGTTAAGTTATGGAGTTTAGAACTTCAGCCTTGGGGCATTTCTTCATTATTTTTAATTTCTTCAACATCATACATCAGAAAAATGACAAAAATAATTAAAAAAAATAAATTTTTAAATTTGAATGCAGATGTTTAGAGAATTGCACCAGAAACATTTAGAGGTATGCCACTTCAAAATCCGATTAGGATAAGTTGAGTTATGGAGCTTAGAACTTCAGCCTTGGGGCCTTTCTTCATTTTTTGGAATTTCTTCAACATCATACATCAGAAAAATGACAAAAATAATTAAAAAAAATAAATTTTTTAATTTGAATGCAGATGTTTAGAGAATTGCACCAGAAACATTTAGAGGTATGCCACTTCAAAATCCGTTTAGGATAAGTTGAGTTATGGAGCTTAGAACTTCAGCCTTGGGGCCTTTCTTCATTTTTTTGAATTTCTTCAACATCATACATCAGAAAAATGACAAAAATAATTTAAAAAAATAAATTTTTTAATTTGAATGCAGATGTTTAGAGAATTGCGCCAGAAACATTTAGAGGTATGCCACTTCAAAATCCGATTAGGATAAGTTAAGTTATGGAGTTTAGAACTTCAGCCTTGGGGCATTTCTTCATTATTTTTAATTTCTTCAACATCATACATCAGAAAAATGACAAAAATAATTAAAAAAAATAAATTTTTAAATTTGAATGCAGATGTTTAGAGAATTGCACCAGAAACATTTAGAGGTATGCCACTTCAAAATCCGATTAGGATAAGTTGAGTTATGGAGCTTAGAACTTCAGCCTTGGGGCATTTCTTCATTTTTTTGAATTTCTTCAACATCATACATCAGAAAAATGACAAAAATAATTAAAAAAAATTAATTTTTTAATTTGAATGCAGATGTTTAGAGAATTGCGCCAGAAACATTTAGAGGTATGCCACTTCACAATCCGATTAGGATAAGTTGAGTTATGGAGCTTAGAACTTCAGCCTTGGGGCATTTCTTCATTTTTTTGAATTTCTTCAACATCATACATCAGAAAAATGACAAAAATAATTAAAAAAAATAAATTTTTTAATTTGAATGCAGATGTTTAGAGAATGGCGCCAGAAACATTTAGAGGTATGCCACTTCAAAATCCGATTAAGATAAGTTGAGTTATGGAGTTTAGAACTTCAGCCTTGGGACATTTTTTAATTTTTACAACATCATACATCAGAAAAATTGACAAAAAATTAAAAAAAATAAATTTTTAAATTTGAATGCAGATTTTTAGAGAATTGCTCCAGAAACATTTAGAGGTATGCCACTTCAAAATCCGATTAGATAAGTTGAGTTATGGAGTGTAGAAACTCGGCCTTAGGACGTTTTTTAATTTTTTTGAATTTTTACAGCATCATACATCAGAAAATTTCAAAAAAATTAAAAAAAAAATAGATTTCCAAAGTTGAATGCTGATTTTTAGAGAATTGCGCAAAAAACATTTAGAAGTATGAAGTATATTTAGAAGACAGACATGACCAGATCGACTCGGCTATTGATCCTGATCAAGATCAAGGCTGCGGAGGCGGCACTTAATGGAAAAAAGCAACTTCTGGATAAACTCACCAAAAGTCTGGCCAGCGAAGCTGCCAGACAGGCACAACAACGGATCGAAACTGTGCAGAAACTAGTCACCAGGATTAAGATGCTGAAGCGAAAGGATCTTCAGTCACTGGAGAGCTTCCTGCGCAGAAGAAGGAGAAGCAACACGGCAAAAAGTAGTTGATTTGGTTATTTTGTTATGGCAATAAATGGGTTTATATTTTGTTAATAATAATAATTTTTAAAATAATAATATAAATGTTGAAGATGTTTTCGATCTTTTATAGACTTTTAATTATCGGTCCCGATAACAGTGCTGCCCCTTTGCAAAATATGGCAAAATATATACCGATATTATAACAAAGGCCCTATCGACGCCGACTCAATTAGCGATTGTGGCTAAGCACTCGGTAACTAGTCTTAAGCGATAGACCACCTCTACCACCGCATTTTTCTGATATGGGGTAATTTTATAAAAGCTTTCAATCTTTATATGCGAAACGATAGATAGTAACGATAGATTGAATATGATTTCGATGGATTGTTTTCTATCGGGTAAGTCTCTTCCACAGTGGGGAATTTACACTCAAAGCAAAACTGAGAACGATATGTAATCAGTGAAATGTTATAAATGCGCGCATTCAGTTGCTAGAAAGATCCTCAGCTGGAAAGGAGTACAACTGTATAAAGGAAATATATATATATATTGGAAATATTGATTCAGCCATCCAAGAGATACTCAGTGCCCTGGCTATACTGGCTGACGATGAAAATATCCGGCTGACCTTCACAGAGACCGGCAAGGGAGCTGCAATTTGCGCTGGGGCTGCGCTTATCGGTGGATTACTGCTGGGTCCACGTGGACTGGCACTGGGCGGGGCCATCGGTGGTCTCGCCGCCTACGGAGTTACGGAGGGCAGGTGTCTCCAGCAAAGCATGCTGAACCCCATTCTAATCAGTATTTTTTTTACAGGAAACTTTAAGCCTCTGAGCGAGGTCATTTTGAATGATTTGACGGAAAGGCAGCGTCGAGAACTGCATCAGCACGTGATCAGGGCTATATCCGAAGTTAGAAAAGTCCGGGCTCAGGAGGTCGCAAAACTAATATTAAAAAACCGGCATATGCAAGAGGTAGCCCTCAACGCCCTAAGGTCTTTTGTCACTGCTCGTTTGGGAATGACTATAATAGACTAATACTAGATATATTTATTATAACTATATTTCCCAATAAATGTGAAAACTAAATTAAAAACCGAAGCATTTTAAGCTCATCGTATGATTTCATTTTATAATGCATGACATGTGTTAACATTAACATGTATAGTAAAACGCATTTCAGCTTATAATTTAATAATAGTTATACACGTATATGACTGCTATCATAAATATTATGCGACCTTATCGTTAGACTTCACATACTTATCTGTGTAGTGCATTTCCACAATGAGTACCGCTGCTCACCAGATTTCTAACTCGGTTTCGGTTTCTTGTCTATTACAAGAGTCGCGCGCTCTACGTCACCAAAATCCATCAGATGTCTGGAGGAGCTGAACAGATGTTGGAGTAGGCGGAATTTGTGCAGCTACAATACCAAGGCGATCATCAACAGGGCAACAACTGTTACAAGCAGTAAAAATAAGATAAGATAAAATTCAGACTCAGTGAAATTGCGGCAAGAGCCGAAATCAAAAGTAGACATTTCGTTGACGCACCGCGAACAAGGAGGGAGATCTGTGATGCTATGCCTTGTTGTATCTCACGGATGCACAGATACTCGCTTCGAATTTTCGTGCAGTGTGCAGAGGGCAGGTCAAAATAATTTGGCTTACTGCGGAAGCGAGAGGAAGAGGAAAGTAACTGGCCGATCTCGATCTCGATCTCCGCTCTATCTCTTTCTAGGGCCAGCTGTCGCCCATTTGGATCGGATCCGTATGCTACTATATATTATATCGTGTGGCTGCCACGTGTCGTGGGCAAGTCCATTGGGCAATTGGTCAGTTCAGCCAAACAATGGCCAATTAGTATGCATGCGACTTTGAAAAGTGAACTTGCGATTAGCCACAAAGTTGCCCAATATACATACATACATACATACATATAAGCAATTACAGGGCAACTTCTCTAAGGCGAATCAATCTGATGTGAGAGCTCGATTTTAAGTAATACAGGATTTTACTATAATAATTATGTTTAAAACTCGTAATATGCTTTGTTTGAAAAACGCCTTTGAGAGTTTTATGAAAACATATGAATTTAAAATTGTTTTTATTTTTAGTCCAAGCATAGCAGTAATTTATTTATACACTTTCAAAAGACGTTGGATTTAGAAAGGCTTCACTGTCCCTGCGAATATGCAGATAGCTGCACCAGATCGGCTGCAGCAGCTGTAAAATCAATCAAAAACTTGTCAAATAAATGTCATGCATAAGCAATAAGTGAACAGGATGTGGCGAGTCCTCGGCCCCTGTCATCTTGCGGGTGCATAAATTTGCCATTGGCTGTATTTGCCTGAGCTATCTCTCTCTCTCTCTTAGGACTATTGCTCACAGGAAGGGTCCACTAACTTTGCCGGCACTGATCCTGCTCCTCGCGCAGATAGTCGCCGATCTGCTGCACCACCATGGCACTGCACTGCTGAGCCAGCTCCACTTGATCCTCGGCAGTCTGGTGGGACTGCACCAGGAGTAGGGATGCATTGTGCATGGATTGGGCCATCCCCAGATTGATTTCCGCCATCGCGTTGATGAAGCAGACACTTCCGCCCGCTGGAGCTAGTGGATTTAGCGGGGAAGCCCCCAACATCTGACACTTGGCCGGCAACTGGGCAATCTGCTGGACAAATTCCTGAACTCTGGCCAAAGCCAGTTGACCCTCCAGACGGAAGTCTTCCAGAAGACTTCCCAAGTCGTCCGTACACCCAGCGAGCTGATGGGTCACATTTTCGTTGAGCTCATCCAGGCTCCAGGCTGGGTTGCAATCGGGATTGGACACCACTAACTGATTGGTCTCATAGATCACATCACTCAGTTGGGCCATAGCATTGGCGGTTAGGACCTCAATGTTGCCGGCAATATTTTGACGAGTGCGATTTATTTTCTCCTCCAACTGAATGGTGGTGCTGTCGCTGACATTTACGGCAATCTCCGCCAGATTGTCCACCACCATGGAAACGGGTCCATAGTTTGTAGTTTCTGTCTCCATCGTGCTTTCATAACGGATTTCTTGGCAGTCCTGAAAAGAAGAGGTGATATGTGTTTGATAGGTACTATGAACTACTTATCACTGTACTCACTGCCAAAGTCAGCAAAAGCAGCGCAAGAACTCCAAGGGTTTGACTCATCATGTTTCTGTTAAATTTCTCTAGTGCGGCTGGCCCACCACTTGACTTGATATATATAGTCAAAAGATCCACAGAGTGTCACGATAAGGGAATGTCTCATAAGAATCAGCACAGAAAACACAACTTTAGCATTAAGTTGATGAATGGAGATGATGTTTTCGTACATGAATGTGACTTGGTAGACTATGAAACTATTAAAAATATTCTATTTGGATGATAACGGTATATTTTCCACTCATTTATTCTTTTGTTTTTTTAGTATTAGGGGCCATTTTAACAGTGCAAGGTTGCAGAAGTAACCTGAGGTTGATGACTAACCTACAATATATACTCGTTACATAGCCATCTTGCGATAAGAGTCTTCGCTATAAAGACATTGGACACAAAGGGGCCATTTGTCTAATTTAGAACTTATTTTCAGCTTTGTTCGGAAATTGAATACCCTAAGGTTTCATATATATCATAAAAGACTTGTGTGTAGTGAGTTACTTACGCAGAAAGTTTTTCAGGAGTCCAATATTTTTTAAAAACAATGAGTATATATAATTTATTACGTATTTTATTTATGTTAACACTCTTTTCCTTAGCCTTTTCCTTTTTCCTTTTCTTAGCCTCTTTTTCTTTAGTTCTTAGCCTTCATAGCTGAGGTAGCCTTTGACGAACTATAAATACAAGTAATGTTCATTTATGGTATCATGAATTTTTCTGGGATCAATTTGATATAGTTCCAAGATGGCAACAATACGGTTGTCATTGCTTTTACTTCAGGCGCTTCTTTGTGTAAGCAAAATCATTAATATGTGTGATATAAGTGTAAAAAGTAATATTACAGCAAAGATCTTACAGGTGCATGGCCACTTCCAAAGAATTTGGGGACAAAATGGACCACTCTATGAGTCTACAAAACAGCTTATTGCCAGCCAAAGCTCCAGTGCTGCCAGCATCTGGAACAGCACCCAACAGGCGATCGATCTGAAGTTGGAGTATCTTCAAGAAACTATAGATACACTGGATGGCCATCTGCAGGTGGTCAGTGGACGCTTGGAGATGTTCCTTGGAATTCAGTACAGCGAAGAGTGGCGGGCATGCTCAAAGAAATATGAGCTCCAGGTGGCACACTTCAATCGGGAGCTGCTGGACAAGTACAGCGTCTGCCGGAATTCCCTGGACCACATCAAGGATCATTTTCAGGAGGAGATCGTGCTGGAAGCTAATTTCCTGAGTAAGGCTTCGCAGGAGATCACTGAGTTGTCGAGCACCTGCAGAATCTGGCAGCTAAAGCAGACTGTTTTCAATCACGCCGGAGTTTTATTGTGCACTGTCGCTGGAATCGGGAGGATTAATCAGCGGATGATCAGCAGTCTGGAGCTGTGCGATGCAATTCTGCTAGAGATGTCCTTGGAAGACCTGGACACACCAAGTTGTCTTTTCTACCATCATCTGAAGATGGAGTTCGATGAGGTCTTTGCGCAGATTGAGTTGTGTGCGATGAACTAGACAGAATGTAATAAATTGAAATGCAATATAAGCTGTGGTGGTCGTCTATACTCGTATTGCAGTGTTTCAACCTAGAAGTAGTCCACATAAGTTAAAATTGTACCTGATGGTAGCACTCACTTTCAGTCAAAGCAAAGCTAATCTGCACCGCTCCCTTTTGATTGATCATTCATAAAAAGCTATAACAAAATTTAAATTTACCATCCAAAAACATTGCCCCGTGGTGGTGGTTTATATATAGCGTAATATTGGCGATAAGACGGATTATCGCACCGTAATCAACCTGCGGCACTTAAGAATAACCAAGTGTGGTATCTGCGATAGTGTTTTACGAGCCATACTTCTTCGATAATGAGGCTGGCCAAAATCCCTCCTCAGTTGCACTGAAATCGTTGACCGGGCAAAATGGTTGGAAAAGCATTGCTTCTGCTGGCCTGTGTGCTGCTCTTCGCCTTTGGTGAAGCCCACCAGGAACTGGAGAATCTGCTGCAGAAGCAGCAGGTGGACTTGCAGTTGTCTGGCGAGGAAGTGGCTGCTCTGCGTCCATTGTACCTAGAGTTCCAGGCGCAGTACAACTATCTGTATAGCTTGAGGGTCCAGAGTGGCGATGGAAGTGATCAGAATCCCACGGAGGAACCTGAACTGGATAGCAACTATCTACGGGCATTTGAAGACTTTCGCGACAAGTTCTCCATTTACTTGGATGACAAACCTCGAGTGGTGTATGACACAAAATTGCCCACTGTTGACGAGATCATGGGAAAACCCAGTCCCGACTTTAGTCCGGATCAGAGGGCAGAATTTGAGGACCTCAGGGAGATTATTCAGGATGTGATTGACGAGGCACAGTTCGGGATAGACGACTTGGTGGAGAGGGCCATCCAATTGGAGACGAATCTGCTGAAGCTGAACAAACCAAAGATTGTGACCGCAGCCATCGCCGGATTGGGATACATGTGGAACTACTGGGGACGTGGAAGTCAAGCCGCCTACTGCAGTTACTCGCTGGTTCCAGAATTCCAGATAGGTCTGCAGGCCATTAACGATGGCGTCGATTGCTACTCCCGCACCATGGCCTTGGTAATGCGCATTCAGAATGAAACAGTGGCCGCTGTGAAGGAGATTAAACGCAATGTCAGCAGTCTTGTGAAGATTTACAAGAAGATCGCCGCCAAGCAGACCACCGTGGGCAAAATTCTGTCGGGTACAGTAAACGCCCTCAGTGCTATCCGCCGGGTACACGACATTATCGCTGTCGGAATCGATGTCTACGGAAAAATCAATGACCAGTTGCCGGAAGAGGCCGTCCACTCTGCGGAGTGTGGAGTGGTATTCGTCAACAGCATACCCCAAATGTTGGAAACGGTCCAGAACCTGACCACTTGCATAACCTACGTGAATCCGGATAAGCCCGACTTTGAATTCACACACCCCGAAGAGGATCGCTACTGGAACACTGGCGCTGATCCTCCTGAAATACCTCATGAGAACGTCGTGGACGACGATGATGATGATACGGACTACCTGGAGTTGGACGACTATGAGGATCACAGATAAGCTTTTGGAATTTCAACCCATTGATAGATAAGTTACGTTCTGATAATCGACACAATAAAGCACAGATAAGAATAAACTGATCGTTGTGATTAACGATTATTGTTGAAATTATTGAAAGTTTGTGATTAAAAGTGCTCATGGATATACAAAAAAGTGTGTGATTTATAATATAATAATCTATAAGAGTGAGCTTTTAAACAACAGCTTCATTTATGGAACTAGCATAGTATATTATTATGAAGGTGACTTCTAGCTACCATTAAATTCCACTGCCAATATTGCACCCACTTTTGTTTTCGTTCTTATCTTAAAATTGGTGATCGGTAGTTTCAATTAATTTATTGCACCGAAGGAACAGCGTTTTATCTATTTTTAAAATGTACATATATTTAAAATATATTTGGTTAGATATAAAAATAAGTTTTTGAAAACTTCGTTTTATGACAATCAAAAAATTTAGATTTTAGTCACTACACATTAGTTTTGGATTTTTGATTTTACACAGATTAATCTGATTCTGTTTCGCAAATGGCTCGTTGAGTATCTTACCTTTACTGCACACGATTACTATTTATTAAAATATAAAAAACATATATTGACGAGTTCTGAGAACCTGAAAAATGTGAAGTGTTGCCCTTTTCAGTGGCAACGGCTACATAATTAATTCGGGTTGACCCCAAAATGCAAGCGATTATCTCGGACAACGACTTGATAGATTGCTCCTATGACTAGATTCTGGACTTGAGACTGGGGGTCTGACTAGACGTCGCTCTCCTTGAGCTGGCGGACATATTGTTCGCTCAGCGACTTGGGAATCCCTTCGAAATTGATGGTCGCAGGTCCAGCAGCCTGTGGCGTGCTCTGCGACTTTGAAACATTTCGTCCTGTGGGACTTGGTGGAGGCTTCTCCGGACCGAACGCCTGTGGTATGGCTATGACATCGGCCATTAGGGTTTGCCGACACAGGGCAGATAGAGCGCTTCCAGGACTAGGAGGTGGATTCTTGGGCTTCTTGTTGCCCCTTCGTAACTTTGAGGTCAGAGTGGCGAATCCCAGTTTACTGGAAATCTTGGCACTCCGGCTCACAGCTCTGGGCAAACTATCGTAGGCACTGGAGTGGCCCAGGCTCTCCTGATCCGTGGATGTGTCATGATAATGCTGTGCCGCCTCCTGGACAGCAGCACGTCCCCCTCCTCCACCCCTCATGCTGCCCGCACTGATGCTCTTTTGGAGCACCACAGATTCCGTTGCCTTAGTTGGAGTTTGGGGATCCTGGCGGGGAGTAACTGGAGCACTTTGAAGGAACTGCGCCTTGGCCAACTGCAGGCGTATGGCTCTCTCCGAAAGAGGAGTGACTGGACGTTCCGGCGCAAGAATCTGTGGTGGCGGAAACTCGAACTGCTTGGCCTTGGTTGGCGTATTTGGATGTTTTCGCTGGATTCGTGGCAGGGTGTTATCCTGTTTATTGGGTAGAGTTAGTGGAATAGGTGGCGGTGGTGGAGGATGCACCCGGGAGAAACTGGGTCCTGAGCTAGTCTTGGCTATCTTGTGCTCAATCTTGTTGCTGGCATTTGCACTGTGTGACTTGTGCAAAGAGTTTTTCTTGTAAAGATGGGCTTTCCGAGGCGGAACTGGAGGATTGCTTAGCTCCTGATGTTTCTTGGACAATCTCTCGATGCTATCACTAGCCAGTGGTGGACGTATGAAGAGGATTCCCCGCCGGAAGTGTTCGCTACTCTGGCATTTCCGGAGTTCTTCCTTGCTGGGCTGATGGGTTATACGATCCAAGCTAATGGACTTATACAGACTAAGGGGCTTGAGAGGGCATCTGGATTTCTCTGGTTTATCCACCTTTTCCGATTTCTCCTCCGTGGGACTGTCCACTTCCATCTCTATCACTGCTAGGCCTTCCGCAGCATTTGGTTGTGGGATGGTAGTAAAGATTTTTCGTTTGGTCTTAACAAAGACATTGGCATTAGTGTTGTACGTCCGATTGTGTTCTGGCAGAGGAGGAGGAATAAAGGCTCCCAGCTTTGTGGGTGGAGTAACTATTGAAGATGGAGTGGTTGAAGTAGCAGGAGTGGTGGATACAGAGGAAGATATAGATGGATCATGTGAAACGAGGTGCGCTGGAGCAGGCGCCACACATTGACTCTGCTCGATCAGTTCTCCCGGCTTGACCTTCAGTGAACCGTAGACTATGTCTTCCCTGGCAATAGTCACCTCATGTTCATTGGTCGTCGAGCTCAACCGGAAGTCATCATCCAAGGAGCGCTGCTTCAGCCGGAAATTCTTGCGACGCAATCGCCGCGGTGTCTCCAAAACCGAGTGGGTATCCGCATCACTGCTGTCGCTCTCCGTCTTGCTGTTCTGCCGGGAACCCATTTTTCTCAGTCGCAGCAGTTTTTTCTTAGCGGAGGAATTTGCATTGGTTACACCATTATTAACGATATTGGCACTGGGATTGGCATTCACGGTGGGCAAACTGGAGCGGCACAAAGTGCCCGTTGTGGTGCTAGTTTCCGTTTCATGCTCCATCGGTGATGCTGCACTGGCACTGTTGTCATCCTGAGCCAATCGATCCCGGCTGGAGTTGTCGCAGGTGGCATAGGCAGAACTGGAGTCCAACTGCTGTCCATCCTCGCTGGTGATGTTAATATCCGGCACTATGTCGCGTGGATAGCGATTGGTGCCACCCTCTACAACGACATTAGAATAAGAGTTAGGTGGAGGTGGCATAAGTGAGAGAAATCCTTACGTATGCTTAGCTTAAGGCACTGCAGGCATTCATACAGTCCGTGGAGCTCCTCCAGGTACTCCAGCGTGCGCTCTTGCATGGTTTCCTGACAGCAGGCCTCATCCAAAGGCGATTTTTGGCTCTGAAATGACAAGTTTATAGCAACAGTAAATAAATAAGTAATGTTTCAAGTAGTCAGTGCATCTCACCAACTCGGTCAGTCGTCCCAGTTCGCTCTGGACATCGGATATGGCGTTGAGCACGCCCGCCTTCATCAGGTTGTTTGAGTAGTACGGATAAATGCTACGAATGCTCAGCAATGCGGCCTGGCAGTCCCGCATGGTCGGGTGTTCCAGCAGATCGGGTGAGGCATTCTTCAGTTGGCCAAACAGCTCGTCGGCACGTTTCAGTGCTCCCAGCAAGGGGGCGAGATTTGTGTGCGACTCGAAGCTCTGGACGCGACGCGAATTGCTGGAGGGAATGCGGAGCCATTAGTTTACGGAGGATCGGGTATTCGAAATGGCACCTACACATAGTCGTTACACTGCACCTCCTCGTACTTGTATATGGGCGTCTGCTGCTCCACAAGAGTGTGAGCGGTGACCAGTGGAGAGGCGGTGTCGTGGATGTGCTCCTCCACCTCCACCATCACAGCCTCCGGCTCGTCGTACTTTTTGAACTCGTGATCGGTGAGGGCGTCGGTGTCCTCGACCTCTTTCAGATCGCTGACGTCGTTTAGGGAGAGGGATGAAGCCTGCTGGGAGATGGCCTGGGCCAGATTGCAGTTGGGTGACACACTGTCCAGGGACAGTGAGCGGCTGAGCGTGGGCGAGTGATCAGCGGCCACTGTGAGAAAGTGAAGAATTAACTTCAGATCTATTAGATAGTACCATACCCACCTTTATTGCAATCCTTGTTGATGCGCCTCACATCTATGGGGCAGTAACCAGGATGCAGGAGGGCAAATGTGGATGCTTCCGGCCCAATTCCTCTAGCTTTTTCCCACTCGTAAAGCTTTCTAGTGAACTTCCTCGAGATGCCCTCGAACTTCATCACCTCTCCATCCGAAGTCTTAACCTCAATATTCTTGGTATGATCTGGCACCACAATGGCCTTTAAGCGGGACAATCTGTTTAATTATTCAAGGATTAGTCATCAAAAGAGAAGGATTTAGGGCTTTCTACAAACTTCTCTTTCTCGTGCGGCTTGTGCTTGTACCATCGATCGTCATCGGATCCCCTTCTTGTAGACTGACCGTGCTTGGATCCTCGCTTCAGGGAGTCATTGTCCGAGGTAGTGCCTCCCCCAGGAGCGCACTTCAGCCGATTCCATTGCTCTGTGGATAAGGCATATTGTTAAATATGACTATGAAAGGAAAACCCAAGCCAAAAACCAACCTAACTTCTTCTGAAACTTCTCGGGCAGATCCTTCTGATCGGGCAAAGCGCACAATCCCTGGCCCTCCAATTTCACTTGACCCATGCTCCACAGGTTCCAGTCGATCTTGGGTTTAACATCGCCACTCTGGCTCTTCGCCGTCGGACTTGCTGCGGGTTCTGAGGAGCCGATCGATCCTGCGGAGCAATTTTGCTGCTTGGCCCTCCATTTGCTTAGCTTCTTTTTGAACTGCGGGGTTAGATTCTGCTCCAGCTGGGCTGTGGACATGAGTTCGTTGTGCAACAGTTGTGTGGGTGAGTGCTCCTCGCTGCTGCGCTTTCCACTACCAGCTCCTCCTCCGGCTGCTCCACTTCCTAGTTTGATACCTAAAATAGAGGGTAAGGCATCGGTTAGAACTTTCTTGGATATGTTTTCAATTTCTTTGGGGATCCCTACTGCGGTTGCTGGCGCTGGAACGCTCTAACTCGAGTTGCTTGCCCTTAAACTCTGAATCTAGTTTGAGTACGAGAAGTTGATAATGTTGAAATATCTCGTCATCTGCGTTCTGTGGGAAATTCTTACAGTTTGGCGTAGTGGGTTCCGAGAAATCACCACTGGACAGTTCCTCACTCTCTGCAACATACAATAAGGTTAGAGAGGTTTTGAAATGATAAAGGGATCGTGGAGTAAAACCATCCCCCTCTTTGACCCACCAAATTCACCAAAGAAATCCGATTGCCTGGAAGGACTGCTGGGCACGGAGGAGGTGCCCGGCGAATGGACACGACGCATGCGCGAATCCTTGGGACTCTTGAGCGGCGAGTGCAGTTGTGGCAGATCACTATACATCTGGTTCACCTGGTTGAGATTCAGTGGACTCGGTGGCACCTTTTGACGACGGCTGCTGGTGGCCTTAATCTCCGCCACATGATCTTCTGGAAGGACCTCAAAGTCGGAAAAGGCTTTCGACCTACGCAATGACTTGCTGGATGAGGATTTGGTTGGTAGTGGCGGTGCTGATGATTTAATATTGTCCAGGCGTTCGTCAGTGGCGGACTTTCGTAACTCCACCTCAAAGTTGGAGTCGCGGGATTCGCAGCGGGTATCACTTTTAGAGGAATCACGACCTGGAAAGGTTTAACATTACTCTAACCAGTTGTAAAGTAAGTAATAATAAGAGTATTACGAAAATTCTGTCGGGTGGAGGCCTCAAGATCATCCATGGAGCTGGCCGAGCTGATGGTACCAGGTGTCCCACCCGTATCACTCATAATATGACCAGAAGAGGAGCTGATGACGCTATCTGCGGAACTGCTGCCGGCTGCCGCACTAATAGGCACCTTGAGATATCTGAAAAATAAACAAACAATAGAATGGCGCCTATGGGAGTATCAATCCCCTATACAAACCTCTCCACCTCGTGGTTGAGTGGCATCAAAACGTGGTTTTCCGGAGCACCAGGTCCCGAAGGCGGCACATTGGCCCGCTCCCACTTGAAGGCGGCCTTGACCTTGGTCCACTTGGACACCTTGGCCTTGTTGTCGCTGTAGGTGCTCTGACGTCTCAGGATATATGGTCGCGATGAGCTTAACTTTAGACTGGGACGATCGCCCTTCATGAACACGTTTATGTCCTCCTCCATCATGGATTTGCTGCGCTCGCGAATACTGTTTGACAAAATGTAATTGTATTTTATTTTCATTTGTTCATATTTATTTTATTTATTTATACGCTGATAATCAGTACCGTTTAAACTTCCCCTGCTTGAAGGGCGGCACCACCTCAGTGCCCATCAGAGATTCTAGCCAGGTGAGGGATCGCTCCAGATCGAACTGGTGGTCATTAGTGTTGGAGCGAGGCGGCTTGGTGGGTGGGAGCTGATGGGCGGCTTGACTAGTGGAAGGAACATCATCATCAACAGCTGCCAGCTCAGCTTCCCGTTCTCCCGCCTCGTTGTCGTCGATGGTGGCCAGTCGGTGCTCCAGAAATCCCTCCAGCAAAGCGTAGGTGCGGGTCAGCTCGTCCATGGTTTCGATTGCGGAGTTGAGACGAGTTTTCAGCGGTTCAATGGTGCCACGATCCGCCCGATAAGGCTGGCACTTGGAGCAGGAGTGCTTTCCCAGTTCGCAGACGGGCAGATCCTTGGCCTCTCTCCTCTCGAATTTCGGAGAGGCAGAGAGATTGCGGGCACGGGTGGCCACTGCCGGAAACTGAAAGATATTCTCTTCCGTGCGACCGCACATCGCCGGCGGAGCGGTGGGCAAGGACTCGTAGTGCAGGACATTATGCCGGGATCGAGTGCGTCGGGGCTTCGGCGGTGGCTGCGGAGGCGGAGGTGGCTTGTCCCACTCCATATCGAGATCTCTCAATAGGCACTTGTTTGTTTACTCTGCCCGATACGCCACTAAAAACGCACACAAGACAAGAATATCCGAGAATTATCAAAATCGGGAGGGAGATTGTTTATAGAAGAGGAAGACCAATGTGGAACGTCCGCCGCCGAACACACACACACGAACGAGTCCTAAAGTGTAACGATTAAATCCGCGAAATGTAAACAATATTTTCGAAAATCCCATTTCAGCACGTTTCCCCACATGTGCGAAAGTTTTGAATATTTCCCAAAAATATGCACGCGTGTGGTCACTTAACTGAAACGGAGAACCAATCCGGCGGAATGCACTGTGTTATTGTGTTTTGGGTCTTGATTACGATTTTGGCTCAACAACTGGATGCCATCGTGCGTCGAGTGGCCGCCGAAGAACAAATAAAATCACGCCGCAAACCAAACTATTTTTAAAACGCTGACACTCTTTTGTTTGCCTCCCCATGGCTATCGGACTACGGCACAACACACACACCCAGTGTTCCGCTGGCCTCTTCTCGATCGCCCCTCGCAAAGTGCGCAACACTTCCTTTATTCCACTTTTAGGTTACACGCAATTAATATTTCCAATTTATGCGAAAGTGCACGCACTCGCGGAGAAATGTGCTGGATGGATGGATAGATGGAAAGATGGATGTATGGATGGACGTGGACCGGTGGATCAGTGGGTGGATGGGTGGATGGGAGGATGGAACGGGTGGATGGGTGGTGCTGCGAGCAGATCATGTGTATCTGAAGTCGGCGGCCCCCATTACTTTCGCCACTTTCCGAACGTTATATCGAAACTGTTGCCACACATTGAATACACACATTTTTCTTTTCTCCGCTCGACTTTTCTTCCTGGCTGCGCTTCTTTTGTTTAATGGGCTTATGCGCAAGGTTGTCGGTCTATTTTTGGTGTTTTGTTGAAAGGAAAAACAATAACAAATTATTACTTGCACTTTTCCTATGCACACTCGGTCGTCCGCACCGCCGCGGAATTTTCATCGATCTCTCGCTCTCACTCTCTCTCACGGATACTCGCGATTTTCCGCGACTTGAAAATTCCGTATACGTCCGTTCCGCTCGTCGGTCGAAGCTATTCTGAGCGGCACGGCGCTTTTAAACACATCGGAAAAGTTGAAAATTTTGAGATTTATTTATAGAGAGCACGGACAGCGCTATGATCTCTTTGCTGTTTTCTAAATGTCTCTTAGAATATACCTAATCAGGGGCCTAAGGCTAGGGGTTTAAGGGGTTTTAATATATGTAATTGCGCTTTACTGTAGCATTTACGAAGTAGAAATCGGGTACAAACCAGTAATTCAAACGTAATTCAAAATAGTTTTCGAAAAGCCCGTTAGAAACATTAAATTCAAATGCTTGCTGAAGCATTACAATTAGTCAAGTTATCAACCACGGTTCGTGATCAGACTTTTTATCAGCGACAGTGTGGTAAACTGGAGTTTACTAACGAAGGGTTGGCAGTTCTGGCCGGCGAGGTTATGCAAAGCGAGAGGTTTGGATTCCGGTAAATAGTAATATTTCTGAAAGAAATGCAGTCCATTCTGTCGTCAATGCGGGCACTGGCCCTACGCCAGAACACGGTGGAGTCCCTCCGCCTGCTGCACCTTTCCGCCGTGAGTGAGGCGGCCCGTAAAGGAACTCGGGAGAAGGCCCGCAAGAAGAAAGTCAAGGTGGAAGTGAAGAAGGTTGGATTCATCCCGCACAACCAGCGCAACAAGAAGTAGGTTATCAACTCAAAGTGAATAACTACGGATTAACCTTCGTTCTTCTCTAGAATCAATATGAAACGGGCGGACAAACATGTGGATGACTCTTGGAAACAGGTGCCCAAAGACGACTGCTATGTGGGGCGGTACTACCGCTGGCCAGTGTACTCTGTGCAGGAAGCCGTCCAGTGCCATCGGGAGACGCATCATCCCACCATGTACAATGTACCCAATGCTCCCCTCAATGTGGATATTGAACTCAACATGCAGGCGGAGAAGATCACTCGGTTTGTGGATAACTTCCAGCGCATGGCCATGATTCCGCACAAGTTTGACCACGGTGAGGAGCGGAAGATCATTGTTTTCACCAAGGGGAATGTGAGTGGAGCTCCTTAGTTACAGAATCATCAAAAATCATTTTAAAATTCATTTCCAGAATGAAGTCCTGGAGGCTAGAGAAGCTGGCGCCTCGCTAGTCGGCGGCGTGGAGCTCATCAAGGACATTACCAACGGCGAGCTGCTGCTCTCCGACTACCAGTACATCATTGCCCATCCGAATATACTGGCCGAGCTGGTGGCCTTGCGAGGCCTGATGAAACGCAAGTTTCCCAATCCCAAGAGCGAGACGCTGGGCACCAACCTGGCCGAGATGATTGTCAAGTTCTCCAGCGGCATTAGTTACAGTGCAGCCAAGGATGAGTACCAGCAAAACTTTGGCCTAATCACCGCCAGTGTGGGTACTTTGGACATGGATGCCCAGAAACTGGAGGACAACATCAAGTTCCTACTGCAGGATATCAACACTATGAGGCCTAAGCGCGAGGGACGTTTCATCACACGAGTCCTGTTGAAGAGCCCGCCCAGCAGTGAGCAGCTGAAGATTGATCCCTTCGTCTACGTTCCAGAGATGTGGGACAAGAGCACGGCGAAGGTGAAACGGGAGGAGACCAAAAAGCAGACAGAGCCGACGGAACGCCAAGAAGCAGTTGCCTCCAATTAGTTAATACAGAAGCCTATGTATTTTTGTTGATGGATTGTTTGTGCATACTTTAAACTTACATCTTCTAGAGTCCTAAACAGTCTACTTTAATTTGGCAGCTTTTGATTGCATTCAGGCCTTCTGGGTGGCGGTGCTGCGTTGTTGGTGTTGGCGCATCATCTCCAGCTGCTTGACGCGGGTGTAGGCGGCGCTGGCCACCAGGACCACCACATTGGAGGTCCACCAGAGAGCCGATCGAACGTCATGGTAATACTGGGTGGCGATCACCGTTTGAGCGCAGGCCTTGGCTGTTCCCGAGATATTGTGCGTCAAGGCGGATGTGACCTAAAACATCGATTGGGTTAGATAAGCATTAAATACGTGGATTGCTTGGTTACCTTGATTTCCAGCGCTGTGACAAATCCAATGGCAAAGCCACAAATGCCACTCAGCGTCATCGCGGCCCAGAACCAAGAAGCCCAAAGGTGCGGATACGTGATAATGCTCTCCAACTCGCCATTGATGATGATCAGGGGAAGGAAGAGCAGCGTGGAGTAGAGATTATTGTAGTAGCTAAGCAGCCACACTTCTTGGTTCACATAAGCCAATGATTTCTTCGTCTGAATAGAAAACATGGCCAAGGCAAGCGAGCTAAGCACTCCAAAGATTGTTCCCCGCCAGGAGAAGACCTCCGTAAGGCTTTCCTGATCCACTCCCAGCCAGAATCCAATGACAATAGCGCCACAGCACAGCAGACACTTCAAGCTGGTTCGTTGCCGAAGAATCACGTAGGTGAGGACCACACTAAACACGGTGGTCAGGGAGCGCCCGATGTAGTAAAAGGCCACTGTGACGTAAGACAGCGACAGGTTGTTCGCCCCAATCATCAGGGTATAGAGCACAGATAGAGGCAGGATTTTGCGGAAGGTGTCGATGTCCAGGGGATTACCCTCGGGAAACGTAAATACCGAGGGGTACTTCCTGCTAAGACGGCTGGCCACGAAACATATCATCGTGGAAACTACACATTGGAACCAGGACATAAAGAGCGGGGCTCCCAGGTTCACTGTGTCGCTGCTCAGCAGGTGTTTATTCACGAACACCGTCAATATCGAGGTGCACCTGTGGATGACATGGAACTGCAGACGGCGCACAGAAGGGGATCCTTTGTAGCACTCACCAGTAAAGTGACACGACGAAGAATATCTTCAGGTATTTGTTAACCAGCCGGTTGTGCTCCTCCAGATTCTTGTACATTTTTGAGTTTCAGGAATAGCGTTCCGATTTGTGCGTTTATTTTTACACGTATCTGCTACCCGGTCTGCAGATCAGCTGTTTTCGCTGAGACTATTTCAGCTGTTTGCGGGGGTGGATTGAAGAGTTGTTAGTTCATAGATGTGGGATAAAAATAATGAACTATACAAAAATCATCAAAACCTTTACTGTTTTTTTTTTTAATGGAGGAAAAAAAGGATTTGAAAATCGTTGATGAAAATTTATTCGTTACAAATAATGTACTTATTTTATTATCGTATTCTGTTGAGTGTGCTAACTAAACATGTTACGGCAATATGTCCACCAAAGTTTTTTGATAACTGAATATTATGTTAAATACATTTATTTTGAGACGTGCTCGTAAGAGTGTTTGTGTGGTGAGTGTTTTATGTGGTGATTCAGATGTTCTTTATTCATTTATTTTAAGTCCTAGTTCGGTTTTTAAAAATATACACCTGTTAATGATGTTAATGCGTTTATTGCCACAGTTTTTCTTATGATAATCCACTTTACTTGGTAATTCAAGTTAACAATGCTCAAAATATATATATTATAGTTATTATTCTCTGTTAATCTCTCTCGCTGACTATAAATACAAGGACTACGGATATTTGACCTACTTCTCCCACTCGCGGAACTCGGTTCCATCTGGGGGCTTGACGCTGACTTTCTCCTTACCCACCTCACTCCAGTTGGTGCTGAGCACGGTGCCTCCGGATTCCGAGAAGGACTTGTTCATGGCCTTTTGGACCTCGGGCGAGGATGTGCTATAGATCTTCTTGAACAGGTTGTTGAGGGCCGTCTCGCCCTTAGCCTCCTTCTCGTCGATCTTCTCCTCCTCGCTGACCAGCTGATCCCAGTTCTTAGCCTTGGGCATCACGGGGGCAGCCACGATGGCCTTTTCCTCTAGATTCTCCCAGCGAATTCCCGTCTCCTTGGCCAGGGTGATTTCCACTTTGGAGGGAAAGGCCTTGTAGGAGGAGCGCTCCACCACAATGGGATGAAGCAGCTTCAGGTCCAACTCATAGCCATCCGCCGTCATGTGGACTCGGTTCTGGGTAATCTCCACAGCGAAATTCTTATCGGCGGCGTTCTTCAGGAGCACGGTGATAACCACCTTTGTCTCCGATTGGTACCAGTCGTGGCGCACGGACATCTTGATTCAGTGGTAATCTAAAATGGAAATTATTGAGCGTGGGATTCCCCTATAATTGTTTACTCCTTGCGCACTAAATGATGTTTATTTTTGAGGGAATTATCCAGAATGCTATGATTGTGACTAAAGTGCAGAGCTACCAGATATAAAATGAGTATCGACTATCGATGACAGGTCACTTCAAAAAAGTGGCAGCGCTATTTGGGGGCTTGAAATTATATTATCGACAACAATCGATAACGTGGTTCAGAAATCAGGGTTGCGAGCTTGGAATAACGTGTAGCACTGATTCGAACCTATTTGGAAACGTAAGGTCCTGTATGTAATTTCCAGCACTGCAGAAACTTAAATTAAGGCGCCAATTTTACAAACAAATCGGTTGAGCATATTTTGTTTGAACAACAACTCAACTCAACAACTCAAAAACTTTTAAGACACAAACTTTAAAGAAAAAAAAAACAATAAGTCATAAGTTATTTTTTCATGGATACAAATCCAGGGGAAAATTATTCGAAATCTGCTCACACCAACTGCAACTGCAGCCAACTAAAAACAAAGTTTTGGCCAATTTACGTGCACTCGAATTCGGTACATCGCTCTGGGGAAAACAGCAGTCGAGAGCGCATAAGTCCCGACGACAGCCAACATAAATTCCTAGATTCCAGTCATACGGCTCTCACTCCCCCGAAAAAATCCGCATCTACATCGATGCGCCATCAAAGTTTGTCCACAGTGACAGCAGAATTGAAAAGTGTGCGAGGGGCAGAAAGTATTTGCTCGTCTAAGTTTTATGACTTGCACTCGACTTTTTGTGTTCGTTTGCGTTTCCGATCAATTGACTATTATCTTTCGAGGTTTGAAGTACAACTGCTGTAACTCGGCACTTTTGCATTTGAGTGCGGCAAACAAAGAATTCACAACTTAATCCTTTCTCTTAATATATAATTTTGAAGCCATGTAATAATGGTATACATAGTACAGTCACTAGCATCTGCATGCTTAATCTCAACTAATCTCAAATAGCTGTAGCTTTTGTAGTTAATATAAATAGTTAATATATATGAAAATATAAATCATTTTTTGTGAAGCATGAAGTTTTTTACTTTTAAGTCAGCTTCCATTTGCGATTTCTGCATAAATGTAGAATGTCGAGAATAACATTTATTTCAACATTTCATTAACATGTTCGTCGGAAGGGGAAAAGCTAAACAGCAGTGTTCCATTCCATTGCCAAGGAAATGGCATATTTATCGCATGCGAGAAGCTGCGCTGTGGTAACCAACATTCTGCACACTTGCTTTACAGCTGTGCTGAATAAAAAGGGGAAGTTGGCTGTTAGAGTTCTACACTGCCCTGTAGAGTATATGTAAAAGGGCGTAGAAGGAATGTAGAATGGCGGCTCTTGCTCTGATAAGAAAACTTATTGGAAATATCATGGTAAACCAAATTAGAATTACAAGCCGTAGCTACTAAGAAATTCCATTGTTTTCAGTTACTATTTCTGCTGATTCAGCATAAAACAGAATGTGCTATCTATTGATATTTACTCGTCACGTTGCTAAAATGCGCCTCCAGTCCATTAGCAACAATTAACTCTGATTTGTATTTGTTATTGAGTGCAGCATCCGCTCGATTCTGCCTCCTTTTTTAAACGGAAGCTGGCAGCTCAAAACCGAAATTTATCGAAAACTTTTAGTAAAGCAAATATTGATGTGGCTTCGAGTGGGTAACTGCGGGGGCGGCGGGGTGGAGGGCGGTGCACTTGGCGGCAAATGCACTTGGAGGGCATACAAATGGCCCGGTTTGTTTGTCACTTGCGATAGTTCGGCGCTGGAAAGTAAGAGCCACCACAACGACACCACCCACTCGCACTTGCCAGCGCCAAAAACTCGAGCTCATGGCTCTCAAGCTCGGCCGGCTAATGGGTGCCATTCATACACACATTCGTGTACATTATCGTGGGCAAACAAGCTAGGAAACAGCAGCCAATTAAGTCCTCTAAAGCGGCAGTGGCGCTGATTAATGGCTCATCTCGAGCAGGAAGCCATTGCCGTAAAGCGGCGTTGGGTTAGCATCCGCCACTGTCGTTATTTGCATGATAAAAGCAAGTGCTTGCCGCGGCAAAGGTGGCCCTTCAGCTGCCGATTGATGGATGCAGCTCCTTGAGCAGCTGCTTGCCAGGAAGCCACATAAGCTGAGCTGCTCCGGCGAAGCCATAAAAGCGAGCCAGAGATGATAAAACCGAAATTGCAGCAACGAGCACGTCCGGCAGCGAAGCACTGCAATTGATAATCCAGCTGCTGGCCAGCAACGTGACCCAGTTAACTTCAAAGTGCATCATTGGTGGTTCGTCGATAAAGTCACACGCGAAGATAATTGGAAAGCAAATAGGGGTTTTACTATCAGGTGCGCCTTAAACTACGTTTATTCCGGAAAGCCGTATATCTTTACATTGCCAGCGTCACGTCGCCGGTCGCTGTCCTTCTCATCGCAGGCGTAGGCCAGCAGGTACTGCTTTGGATGCCAGGCCACCGTGAACGTGGAGGCGTCCACTTGAATGTCGGTGACCCGCTCGCCCGTCTCCGTGAAGGCAATGTCTATGATGAGGTCCTCGCTGGCCGAGGCAATCAGTCGCTCGTCGTGGCTGAAGGATATGGTGCGGACGGGCCACTCCAGGCGGCTGATCATGCGCAGGCAGGCCAGCTCGTTGGCATCCCACAAGGAGACCTGCGCATCCGCCGAGCCAGTGGCAAAGTATTTACCTGGGCAATGAATGATGTGTCTGATTACAAGCCATGCGTTCGATGGGATAGCGTAAGGGAGTACATACCCGTGGGTCCGAACTCAATGCAAATGCAGTTGGCGGGATGGGCCTTCAGAGTCATCTGGTGCTCCAGGCTGGGGTAGTTGAGGACGTGCATGCAGCCGAGGCCGTTGGTTAGGAAGAACAGATCGTTGGTGTTGTTCCACGATATCTCGTTGACTTCGAAGCTGAAGGGCTCCTCCACGCGGATCTTGTTCGTGCGCGTGTCTATGAAGGTGATCAGGTCCTCCTTGTTGCCCACGGCAATCGTCTTGCCGTCCGGCGACCAGGCAATGTTGATGTTCTCCCCCTTGGTGTTGGTCACCGATACGCACTTCCCGGCCCGTATGTCCCAGATCCTCACGGTCTTGTCTCCGCTGGCGGTGGCAAACTGGTCGGGATTGCTGCGATGCCAACACAACTGGTCCACGGACGCCGTGTGCCCGCGGTAGATGCTGCCCTTGACGAAACGATCCCGCTCCAGGGAGTAGACGGCCACCGTCTTGTCAAAGGAGCCGGAGGCCAGGTGGCGACCATCGGCGTTCCAGCAGACTGAGTGAACCTGTGGGCGGGATTTTGGATTGGGGATTTAGAATTTCGATGTCGGGGCCATCGTGCTCACCTTGGACATGTGCGCCCGCTGCTCGCGGATTTTGCTGTGACTGCGGAAGTACGATTTCAGGTCGTCGAAGGTCTGCTCCGTGCGACTCATTGCTAAAAGTTTTATTTATATTTCACCCGGCTTTTTCTTATAAAACCTAAACAACAATGTGACCGTGGCCCAGTAACCAAATAATACTACCACAACCAGTCACAAGCTAGCATTAGCTAGGACTCACACCCATGATTGCTTTCGGTAGTTTGGCGGCTAATTCAACTGTTCAAATGTTGCATATCTTACCATTAAGTAACATTTTCAAACGAGTTTTGGCGAGCATTCAAGCTTTCCTAATTACGCCACTGTTTGCTCTCGAAACATTTAAGCAAGAAGAGAGAGCTTAGTGTCAACAAAACTTTATTGTACCTCTGCAGCCAAGCAAATATTAATTAAGAAAAACGAATAAATAAGAACTTAAAGCCTAGCGTGTGGCAGTGCACTACTGATGTCGGTGGTTTCGCGGTGGTTCCCGCACATGCCGATCGCTCTTGTCGTGGATATGCACATTCTCAGCGAGCTCCACGTTGGCATGCAAGGCGGCATCATTGGCATTCAAGTGCGCCTCTTGGGCGGACAAGGTAGCCTTCTCCGCCGCATCTCGCGTTTCCTCGTAGTCCAGTCGAGCTGCATAGGCCTGCGATTCAGCGTGCTCCAGCTTGGTCTTGGCCTGGGCCACCATATCAATTTGGGAGGCCAGCTCGGCAGCCGCCTCGGATGCCGCCTTTTGGGCCAACTCCGATGCGGATTGCGCATTGTTGAGTGCGGCAGTCAGGACACTGACATGGTTAATGGCCTGCTGGGCGGCATATTGGGCTGCCTTGGCGGATCGCTTGGCCTGCTGCAGCTGGGTCAGCTCGTTCTCCATGGACTTGTGGGCCTCCACACTCTGATCCTCCAGTCGATGGAGCAGCACCTCCTTGCCCTTCAGCACGGCCACAGCTGTGCCGGCTGCCTGAGCTGCCGCCTGAGCCAGAGTACTCTTGGCCACATAGGATGCCTGTTTGCCTGCCGCATTTTGGCTGGCCACTGCGGACAGGGCCTGATCCGCTGAGCCCTTCGCTATGCTGCGCAGTCCATTGTCGGCGAGATAGCCACCTCCTCCGCTGTGAGAGTGCACTACGTAGTCGGCGGAGCCTTCGAAGTAGGGGAGCTTCACCTTGGCCGGCTCGAATTCGTCGTGGTTAATGGCCTCGTAGGCGTACGGCGGCACCTCGTGCTCGATCACCGCCGTTTGCTGGGGCACTGGACCCGGTGCATGGGGCGCTGGAGGCGGTGGTGGAGGCGGCACATTGACGTGATGGTGGTAGTTTGGCTCCTTCCGCTTAATCTTGCGACCCTGCGTCGGCATGGCCACTAAATCACAGAGGGGAAAGTCCCAATTTAGCCACATTTGCATGAGGAAGTCATGTGCGACGACTCACCCAAAAACAGCGCCAGGAGCAGAAGGTGCAACAGCGATGGCATCTCAGGTGCTTATGCAATGGAGCAGCTGGCGAAAGGAAGTCGCACAACCGGAAGTCTCGCGATCACCGCAGGCGTAAGCTTTTGGACTCCTGTTTCGGTGCTCCAGGTGCTTTCGAGTGCTGAAAGAAAACAATTTTCGTTTCGGATGGGGATAAATTTCTGTTGATAAGGTTCAGATATTCATTGTATTCCATTGTATGCTTTTCACTCTAGTTAACTGGTTGGTATCACACATAAAAGAGTTCGAAACACTAGAAATTTCCATCCCACTTAACTAGAGCTGTTATGAAATGTCCCACTTAACATATTGCCTTCCAAGGTGTTGTAATAATATCCCTATTATTGATTGTGACTTTTCAAAATTGATTGATTGATTGCATTTAAAAATATCTCCACATCTGAAGGACACCTTTTGCGAGTGCATAATCACTGGGTAACCGGTTACACAGCCGCTTTTCCTATTAGCTAATATATGGCGCGGCACTTTCTTTGCTCTAGGATGACCGGTAAGTCGTTAGTGTGTCACGGAATGATATGTTCCACCGAAGAACCTGTTTAGTTTTAAGGCCAGCCAAACTGGACAGCACACAAGGCACACACAAATCACTCAGTTTTGACACCAACGCACCTCTCGATCTCGATCTCCACTTCGACTTGACCGACACGAACGTCCTGTGCGGACCAGAGATGAAATGCTTATGACTCGAGTGGAGGATCGTCCGCCAAGCGGAGCCAATTGTGGATGGACGAGTTCGGTGAAAAACGCTTTTACTTTCGCACTCGGAGAAGCTGGGAGCTGTAGGCTGGGAGCGGCAAGTGGGCTTAGTAAATCCGGTGGAGACTCGACGACGATTGCCAGTTGGCCACCAGAGGCGCCATGTATTTATAAACAAACTGGTCGGGTCGCCGAAAGAAAGTGCAAACCCGTTGGCAGTTGGCTTGCTTCGAGTGAGCTGGTCATGTACCATCAGCCAACAATGATGGTGCTGGGTCAATGCTACCAGGCTGCTCGATTGGATAATTTGTAGCCGCAATTATGGCAGAGCGTCTAATTGCCATGAGACGCTTTAAATGCCCGCTCCGGCAGAGATTGCATGTGACGAAAGACCCACGGTGTCCGATGATTGTTCGCTTCCTCGCAAATCCGCGCGTGAACACGGAGGAGTGTTCGGAAGTTTACCGGGCTGCGTTGAGTATACGCCCCGTAACCCCTAATTGCATCGTATAATACATACGTACTTTATGATCAACTTGATGTCATCAATATGACCTTTAAAATATAATAGCTCATATACTTTCTGCTAAAACGGTTTCACGTCTCCTTTATCAAAGCACAACATAAACATGAAATATAAGACATACAAGCTATGAGCTCAGTGGGTGTGTCCCCTCTTCAGTCGCAGCAAGTGCCTCAGTTCCGCCTTCCTGCGCTCCCTGGTGGCTCTTTGTCTGGCCTCCTGGGCAGCACAGGCTGCCCTCTCGGCGGCACCTTTGGTGTTCTTGAAATCCGCACGGGCCACCTCCAGCTGGCGCAGTAACAGCTCCACCCGCTTCTTGGCCGCAACCACGAGCTGCTGCTTCTCGCTCAACTCCTGCTGAGCTCCACTGGCCACTTGCTCCGAGTTGATAACATTTTCCTGCGCGTTTTTCACTGCCTGCGTGATGGTGTTCAGCTGATCTGCCGCCTGTTTGGCTGCTTGCCCGGCCGCAGCAAAAGTGGCTTGGGTGGTCTGCAACAAGGCGCTCTCCTCCTGGACCACCAGCTCCCCCTCACGCACCTCGGACTCCAGTTGCTCTACAATTTGTTGCTTGCCGGCCAGAGCAGCTTCTGCCGCCTTGGCGGCTGCCTGCGCCTTGTCGGCCAGTTGCTGCTTCACCTGGCGGGCTGCTGCCTCACCAGCCTCCAACTGAGCATCGGAGGCCTCCTTGGCTTCCTTGGCCGCCTTCTGGGCAATACAGGAGGCCTTCATCCTAGACTTTCCATCCATCTTAATGCCGCACGAGCCACCTCCAGAGTTTGACAAGGGACTATTATCGCCACGTTGATCTGAAATCAAGCCAGCTGTATCAATGGAGGACTGCGGCAACTTATGGCCCGCAGAAAGATATGAGAACAAGAAGAACAGTAGAAATGCGATTGGTGCTATCTCCATGCTTAACTCGAAACAGTGAAGAGTTCTTTAGAGATATTTTCAAAATATAGGTTCGAAATCAGACACTAGTTACAATACAAATATTTTAAGAAATGTTAATCATTTATACAAGATAGAATGCTATAGTCGAGTTCCCCGACTACCAGATACCCGTTTTTCAGCTAGTGGAAATGCAAACGAGAAATTTCTGGAAAATCGGAAATTGGTAGAAATTGGGAAAAAAAGTAATAAAATGAAAAAAACCTAAACATTTTTAAAGGTGTGGGCGTGAGAGATTTGTGCGGTTTGTGGGCGTTAGAGTGGGCGTGGATTTGGAAGCAAACGTGCGACATAGACGCAATATCTCTGGATGCTGCATGCTGCTTAATCTCAACATTCTAGCTTTTTTAGTTCCTGAGATCGAGGCGTTCATACGGACAGACGGACATGACCAGTTCGACTCGGCTATTGATCCTGATCAAGAATATAATATATATACTTTATATGGTCGGAAACGCTTCCTTCTGCCTGTTTTCGAAGAAACTAGTATACCCTTTTAGTCTACGAGTAACGGGTATAATTAGTGCTTTGAACTGTGGAACTGCCAGATCCCAATAAAAATCTCCACATTTCGACTTCCTGATGGGCCTTGAGATTACTGTAAAATGCGAGATTCCCCATGCGTTGCGAGTCCCTGGTTACGATGTTGCTGCTGTTGAACATCCTGCTGACGAGTACCGCGAATCCGGCCCAGCGGAACGATCCGCGCTTCAAGCCCGCCTCCATTCCCTGTAAGACGAACATAAAAGCCAGCCAGGTGGCCTGCAAGGCGGCCAAGGATGCGAAGGACGCCAAGGATGCCCAGCCGGGTGCCGCGGAGGTGGCAGGTCAGAGGGCTCGAGCCATGCTGGCGGACAGAGCGTTGCAGGCGGCTAAGGCTGCGGAGGCGGCACTTAATGGAAAAAAGCAACTTCTGGATGAACTCACCAAAAGTCTGGCCGAAACGAAGGGGGTAATCGAGGAAATCCAACGTGCAATTGCTGCCAGCTCGTGCTCGTCAAATACGACAAAGGGGATCCGCAACCAGCTGCGCAAATCCTTGGCCTTTATGCAAAGTCTGTTACAGGAAATGAGCGGAAATCTCGATAACATCCGGCGGGTGGCCCTCAGTGCTCAGAAAGAGGCGGCGGAAAAGCGCAGCCTTCTCGAAGCGGCTAAGAGGCGGGTAGAAGAGCTCCATAACTGCATGTCCCAGGCTCAAATAGATCTGGAGCGAAATCGGGAGAGCGCTAAGAAGGCCAGCGAAGCCGCCAGAGAGGCACAACAACGGATCGAAACTGTCCAGAAACTAGTCACCAGGATTAAGATGCTGAAGCGAAAGGATCTTCAGTCACTGGAGAGCTTCCTGCGCAGAAGAAGGAGAAGCAACACGGCAAAAAGTAGTTGATTTGGTTATTTTGTTATGGCAATAAATGGGTTTATATTTTGTTAATAATAATAATTTTTAAAATAATAATATAAATGTTGAAGATGTTTTCGATCTTTTATAGGCTTTAAATTATCGCGCCCGATAACAGTGCTGCCCCTTTGCAAAATATGGCAAAATATATACCGATATTATAACAAAGCCTATCGACGCCGACTCAATTATCGATTGTGGCTAAGCACTCGGTAACTAGTCTTAAGCGATAGGCCACCTCTAGCAAGCGAACCGCATTTTTTTCTGTGAAAGTTGGAAAAATTAGCCGAAAAAGATAGTAAATATTTATTAAAATCAGCCGAAACCGCAAACAAACAGGCAGCAAACATGGCGCGCAAGAATGCCCAGGCGGAGGACCTCTCGAACGTGGAGTTCGAGACGAGCGAGGATGTGGAGGTGATTCCCACCTTCAACGCCATGAATCTGAAGGAGGAGCTGCTACGCGGCATCTACGCGTACGGTGAGTGGGTGTATACCTATTGCCGGCCTAGAATTAATCCATTCTTAATATGCACTCTCAAGGTTTCGAGAAACCCTCGGCCATTCAGCAAAGGAGCATTAAGCCAATAGTCAAAGGACGAGATGTGATTGCCCAGGCACAATCAGGCACGGGCAAGACCGCCACCTTCTCCATCTCCATCCTGCAGAGCCTGGACACCACGTTGCGGGAGACGCAGGTCCTGTGCTTGTCGCCCACCCGCGAACTGGCAGTACAGATCCAGAAGGTCATTCTCGCCCTCGGCGACATGATGAATGTGCAATGTCATGTGTGCATCGGTGGCACCAACCTGGGCGAGGACATCCGAAAGCTGGACTACGGGCAACACATTGTGAGCGGCACTCCCGGACGAGTGTTCGACATGATCAAGCGACGGGTGCTGCGAACAAGGTATGTTTCATTATAGCCAATCGAAAAGTATTGTAATTAAATGTGTATCTTATAGAGCCATCAAGATGCTAGTGCTGGACGAAGCTGATGAGATGCTTAACAAGGGGTTCAAGGAACAGATATACGATGTGTATCGCTACTTGCCACCAGCCACTCAGGTGGTGCTCATCTCGGCCACCTTGCCCCACGAGATACTCGAGATGACCTCCAAATTTATGACAGATCCCATTCGCATCTTGGTCAAGCGGTAAGGATTAGGCTGCTCCCAATACTGCACTGTGATTCATAAATTCCACTCCCTTACAGTGACGAATTGACGCTGGAAGGCATCAAGCAGTTCTTTGTCGCCGTGGAGCGCGAGGAATGGAAATTCGATACTCTGTGCGATCTGTACGACACCCTTACCATTACTCAGGCCGTCATCTTCTGCAACACGAAGCGCAAGGTGGACTGGCTGACGGAGAAGATGCGCGAGGCAAACTTTACAGTGAGCTCCATGCACGGCGATATGCCGCAAAAGGAGCGTGACGAGATCATGAAGGAGTTCCGAGCCGGCCAGTCGCGAGTCCTCATCACCACCGATGTGTGGGCTCGAGGCATAGATGTGCAGCAGGTGTCGCTGGTCATCAACTACGACTTGCCCAACAATCGTGAGCTGTACATCCATCGCATCGGTCGGTCTGGTCGCTTCGGACGCAAGGGTGTTGCCATTAACTTTGTCAAATCTGACGATATTCGCATTTTGCGCGACATTGAACAGTACTACTCCACACAAATCGACGAGATGCCCATGAACGTGGCTGACTTGATCTAAACTAATATTCTATCATTACTTTTATGTAACGCACTTTTCCTAGCCGTAACAACAAACGAATGAAGTAAATACATTTGAAGAGTATTTGAATTTCAATAGACAACCAAAATCTGTATAATAATAATAAATAACACGTAAGAATTTAATACAGAAACCAGTTTGTTTTTTGAATGGATTAGGGGTTCTGGGGATGGGTGATTTACGTAAGTTATTACGTCAAGGCGGGCACTTACAATTAAAAATTAATTGATGTTTAAGTGAGGTGTGCACTTAGCAATATTCCTTAAGACCTATTGCAAATGAGCTAAAAATTGTCACAAGCCTATTTACAAGGTTTTACCTAATCAGATACCTAGAGACTTTGGTTTTGGCGAATCAAAAAGCGCGCTATAAACATAAATTAACACTACAATCTCCGCTCGTCTGGCTTATCTCAGCTTATAACTTCTGGCTTTTGCGGCAGCGCTGGAACGTACGAGCTGGTCGTCGATGTTGTCAGTGGGGATTGGCGTTGTTTCTTGGTTTCGTCTGATTTCAGGAGGGTGCCCAGAACAATACCGAGGAAGAGAATGAGTCCTACTTGATGGTTCGATAGGAATTTTTTGGCGCAGTCGCTGGGGTTGTCAATGTTGAGGGAGTAGATCTGGAGTACAAAACGACTTAAATAAGTACTTTTCTGCATGATTATATAACAAGGAATACCTGCTGCACTAGATGGGCACCCACTATTCCAACGGCCGCGTAGTAGGGCACCGTTTGATCGCAAGCCCAGCCAGCGGCGGACAGACCCGTTAGCATGGCTGCCGTGAATCCAGACAGCCAAGCCTTAGTGTTGTCGCCAAATCTCAGAGCCGTGGACTTCACACCGATCTGCAGGTCATCCAGCTTGTCCTGGTGGGCGTATATCGTGTCGTAGACAATGGTCCAGCAGACGCCGGAGAGGTAGAGCGGGAGGCAGGCGGCCAGATTAACACTGCCCTGGGTGGCACACCATCCCAGCAGGGCGCCCCAGTTGAAGGCCATGCCCAGGACCAGCTGGGGCCAGTAGGTGACTCTTTTCATGAGGGGATAGGTTATCACGAGGCCCAGCGAACTGGCGCCCAACAATATGGATTGCCAGTTGAGCTGGACCAGCACCAAGAGACCCAGACTAAGCTGCGCCGAGAGGAATACTATGGCATCGAACTGGCTGATCTGTCCTGAGGCCAAGGGCCGCAATTTCGTGCGCTCCACTTTGGCATCGATGTCCTTGTCCCAGAGATCGTTGATGGTGCATCCGGCGCCGCGCATTATCAGTGCCCCGGTGCCAAAGAGGCCCAGCATGGTGAGGTCCGGCCAGCAACCTGCATCCGCGCTGAGCGCTATGCTCCAGGCGCAGGGCCAGAAGAGGAGGTAGGTGCCAATAGGTCGGTCGATCCGCATCAGTTGAGCGTAGGGTTTGGCGGCTGACACGAGTTCCTGCAGCGGCGTTTTCAGCTTCTCGGGCTCTGTGGAGGTACTCGCACTCCTGGAGTATACATCCTGTGGCTGCGACTTATCCCAGTTGCTCCAATCTCCAATCAGAACACGCGCTGGTTGCCGGGGAAGCATGTGTTTTGTTGTTGCCGTCGCTGCATAAGAGCTGCGGAAGTGCCGTGCGCTCTGGAGTCGCAGGTGTCGTAGCGCATACATTGCGATTTGCCTTGCACTAGCAGCTGCAATAATTTAAGCATTAAGTCACGCTATATTAATTGGTATTTAATTGGTATTTATTCGTAAACTCACAATAAAAAAATGGCAAGATGTTTAGTGGAACTTTGGTTTGGAATGTCAAAGGGATGCCATCCGGGTGGAGGTAGCAAAGAGTTGCCGGACGGATGAAAAAAGATTTTGATCTGGTCGCACCGCCCCATTTGGCGCTAAAATTTCAAATTGAAATTCCAAAGATTTTATCAATGAAGTTGCATGTGGCATGAAATTCAAGTTTTGTAAATTATTAACTTTTAAGTTGTGTTTTACAGATGCAATACTTTTATATATTTACCCACAAAAGTAAATGCCCGAAATGTATGCTTTCAATTTACCACTTTCAATAACTTAAGCAAAACGAACTTCAGTTAGTTACAGTTTTCTCCACATAACCGATTTAGCAAAAAGCTTTCGCTCTAAACTAATAACCCAACCACTTACCCCTCTGCAATATCGTTAATGTTTTGCACACGTCACCCATTTTTCGAAATTGGCACACGGCGCAGGAATGTCCGTAGAATTTTTGCACACGGCCGCAGAAGATTTGCGCACGACCATCAATTTCAGCGACATTCGATCCCAGTTAGAAATAGCACAGTAAGAAATAACACTCTAGGAAAGCCAAGTGGACTAAGGCAGACCTCCGGCGATCCGGCGGCCGACGGTTGCTATCGCTCCCGTGCCGGTATATGGGCATATACTCGTACTTACTTATGAACGTACCCGTCTAGAGCCATAAAACCGTGATCGAACCGAGGAAATAATGGAATAATTTCAACATCATGTATTGCAGCAACAATTTCAGGGGGTTGTATTAGTCCATGATTGATAATCTGAATTGCAATAAATTCTGCACACGAATCGATTGTCTAGCCTTTGCCATCAGTCCATAAATTAAATTGCAAACCGAAGAGAAGCCCAAGGATCAATGAAGGCTCTTATCTCTCGAGATAAATATCTGCAACTGATATCCAGAAGATACATTTCATTTGTCCTGTAACACTGAGATCTCTGTATGCATTTATGTTTATTAACAAAGCTGTATCTGGGGCTGGCGTTCTTATTCTGGGCCCACTATCGTAGGTATCGCCGCTACTGGGTGATAACGCTCTTTCCCATTGCCCATAGATAAGCGCACATGCCTATCGCCCCGTCGGGGGATTAGGGGCGATTTTCTTTAAAAAACCACTCGCGAGCTGCTGGTTTCAAGCAGTCAACGCTCTGCTCTCAGCACCTCAGCAGGTCTAGCTCTTATCACTGTGCTTCCCCGATCGCCAGTCGGATTTTCCACGCCTTCTGTTTGACTATATCTGTTTCCATAAGCAGCCCAAGATGGATCACAATCATGACCACGGCTCGGACGACAGCACCAGCACGGCCAAGTCCTGCCCAATGATCATGGTGGTAAGTACGCGGTTACACAACTTCTGTCGTCTACAATTTTGAAACGAAATCACCTACCAAAGCGCTAAACGCCGTAATTTAAAAGTCACTCATCCAGCTCAGCTGAATGAGATTTGCCCGGAGAGCGAGCAAATAACTCGCCCTACTCGGAATTTGAATTCTCTAGCTAGTCACTGCCTAGTACGAGTATGTATAGGTATGTCTATGTGCCAGACACCAATTATTCGAAATATTCGCTCTCTAGCGCTTTATGCGCTCTCAGCAAATAAAATTAAATATGCTCAAACAGGGTGTCGCACAATATTCATGGGTATTTTTTATACCATTGTGAGGGAATTATAAACAAATGTTTTTTATCCGAAGATATATGTATAACAAGAAAGTTTAAGCTTCCTTTTCCAAGGCTAAAAATAATGTTATACATAGGTGATGACATCTTTGTATTAAAAAGGTATTAGGTAAATGGTACTTGTCTGCTATTTCAGGCACACCTTGCTAATCTGGTGAGATTCTTTTTTAACCTTCCGCGCTTTTACCCTTTCAGTTCCACGCCGGACACTGCGAGCGGATCTTGTGGCGCGGATGGGTGGCGTCCACTGTGACGGAGTTCGTTCTCTCCGCCCTGGCCATCTTCCTGGTGTCCTTCCTGTACGAGGCCCTCAAGTTTCTGCGACAGCAACTGGCTCGCCGGGAAGCCCGCAAGGAGAGCGAGCAACTGGCGTCGGAGCAACGCAGGAAGAACGAGGTGCCGGCAGCCGGAGGATGCTGCTCGGAAACTCCGCTGGCAGAGCCGAAGGAGCAGACCTACTGGCAGCGCCTGTTTGCCTCGTCGCATATGGTCCAGTCTCTGCTGAACCTGCTGCAGATCGTCATCTCCTACCTGCTGATGCTGATCTTCATGACCTTCAACTACTGGCTCTGCCTGGCTGTGATTCTGGGATTGGGTCTGGGTTACTTCTTCTTCGGCTGGAACAAGAAGAATCCCGACGAAAGCGAGTGCTGTCCTTAGATCCGGGATACCGCTCTAATTGGTTTTTATAGCGTGCAATTGTTATTAATTGAGCCCTTATCAGTTCTTGGTTCACACATCAAACAGTCCCGTCCCCAAGTAATTATATAAATTGTTTTAAAACTACAATTTTATTCGATAGTTACACTTGGTTTAATTGTAATTGATGTAATCGTAGCATAAATTAGTCAACTAGTTTACTTAATGAGCATATTGTACAAATAGTAGTCATGAGAACAAGAACCTATACAACGCGTATGCATCTAAATCGATTGAAGTACCACTCAATACTTTTGATTTTACAATAAATTTGTATAAGCAATACACTTTATTTTCGACCACCCCAAACTCAAAACACAAACAATCCAATATGAAACCAAAAAAAAAACGCCAAGTTAAATCTCCAGGATTACATGAAATTCGTAATGAAATGCGAACAGTACCAGGTCTGAGTCCTGACAGCCCACAACTCACATTTGAGGGCGTAACTTCCACGACACTCACTTACCACACAAAAGGTTTCTAAAGTTTCTTTAAGGCAGACCTTTATAATATGGTATTCGAGACTTTTTAGCAAATATTTTGGCTGTGATTTTTAAATATAAATAGGAAGTGTAAGTAAGCAAGTCCCATGATACACATTGTTTTACACCACTTTATCTATTTGGATTCGCCCAACCACACACTAATATTTGCGAGCTTCTTTCCAGGGAAATGATACAAATAAGCAAATAGGGATTCCATACCCTTTTAGTGCATTTGTTTTAAATTTGAGTGGTAAGTGAGCGCCATGATGAGACCATCCCTTAAGTAGCGCTTAGACTAGAGTAACCTAGACTGAACAACCGCGATCAAAAGTAGCTAAACCCGCAACCAACCCGCTGATTATACACCACCTACTCATAAGCCCGTGGCTCCGGCGGCCATCATTCCGCCGTGATGATGGTGGTGGTGCATCCCGCCGTTCTGGAAGTACATGTAGTAGTTGTACGGCGACTGCTGTCCTGCCCCGCCCTCGCAGTCGAGCAGGGGCTGGCCACCGGCCGTGCCCGCCACTGGAGAAGGAGTCATCGGCAGCGGGGACACCGTACTGCCCATGCCGCCCATGCCACCCACTCCGACGCCCACCTGGCAACTGGCCCGCAGGGCGACCGCCTGATGGTGGGCCAGGATATCGCTGACCGAGTGGGAGGAGGGCCAGTGGGCGGCAGCGGCTGCGGCGGCCACACTCCTCAGCTGGTGGGGATGGGGCGCTGATCCCTGGCCGCCCGCTCCCTGCGGCGGGGAGGGACTTCCGCAGGACACCGCCTTCATGCTGTAGGCCGCCGCAGCACTGTACGGCTGGTAGATGGAGTTGTACAGGTGGGCGTGGGCATGGGCGTGGGCGTGCACATGGTGGGCATTTGCCGCCGCCGCCGCCGCCGTCTGATGGTGATGATGGTGGTGCGGATGGTGTGGTCCACCGCCGGGATTACCCAGATTTCCCAGATTGATATTATTGCTGGCAGTCGTGCCATTGTTTTGGCCACCATTGCTGGACACACTGCCGCCACCACTGCTGCTTCCGCTGCCCATCACCGTTCCCGGCGTGTGCTGGTGCCCCAGGCTGCCCAACTTGTTGCGCAGGATCCTCGAGATGGAGCTCACACTGGGCACATTCGTTTTGTCGCATATGCCCTCGCTGAGCAAACGGTCCCGGATTTCCCACGCAAAGATGCCGGGATCCCGCTGCTTCAGTTCCCTGATGTAGTTGACCACCTTGGGCGTGGTCACCCGCGGCTTGGATCCCCCAATCGCTCCGGGTAGTATGGAGCCCGTTTCGTGATACCTGGCCAGGATCTTCGACACACAGCCGTGACTCACACGCAGCTGGCGCGATATATCGCAGGGTCGGATGCCCAGGCGGGCCAGCTCCACGATCCGCATCCTGGTCGCATTGGGCAGCGGACGTCCGTTGACGAAGACGCCGCCCAGCTGGTTCACCTCGCCATACTGCGGACACTGCGACTCTGCAAAGAGAAACGGGTTCCGGATTAGTCAAGTTGGTAATAACATGGAATAGTGGCAAATGGACATCGACATTGAAGTACTCTACTATTTAACGAGTTTAGGTTTTCCAACTCAAAGGAAGTATCAATACATTTTTGCCATTTTCTGAGTAACATAATATTTAAAACATTTTTCGGAAATTGTTCATACGCAAGGGGTACTCTATAAAAAGCCCATAAAGAGTATATTCCTCCTGTCATAAGCCGCAAACAGTATCATCCGAAGGCGATTCCCGTTTCCCAGTACAGAGTGCAAACAAAGAGCATTCGCCTGGTTGCCTGGTTGCCTGGGAATGGGAACCGAACAAAAGCACATTTGCGTCTAATTAGTTTCGGTGGCAAATGAGTGAGCCGAGTGGCTAGGAATGGGACTTGGAAGTGCGGAGGAGCGGAGGAACGGAGGAGCGGAGGAGGATTGGCGAGTGGAAGCCCAAGATGAGTGGGTCGGGGTACCGCCGTTTGTTCGGCTGAAAATCGCTACCATTTGCTTCTCAGAACTGCGGATGTGGGTGCCCCGATTGTGACTGGGAAAACACAATTTGAATGCCCGGAACGTGCGGAAATGCACTTTGAGCGATGACGCAAAGATTTCCCCTTGGCGCATAGAACACTACTTAAGGATAGGTGCACATTGGTCCATTCTATTCTTAAGCTTTCCAGGATTGGATCTGCCAATGATTTAGTTTCGGCAGAAAGAACTGTGTTTGTCTAAGCTATTTTCACATACCATAAATAAAGTAATTAACCATTCTTGTGAAAGAGACAAGGTGGCCACAATCATAAATTATTTAAAATATGCAAAACATTTCCATTTGTAGACACACCCCATAAAACACAGTGTCATTTTGCAGACAAATAAAGGAGGTTCTTACACTTTTAATTCATTCGCTAATACCTTAATTGTATGTTTCGTGAATGGCTAATTCGCTAACAACTCGTATAAATGCAAACTGTTAGGGTACTGACTTCAGTCTGCAGGTGACAAAGTTCAAGTGAAATACCAGTCTCAAGAGAAACATTAAAATATGATTTTCAAGTACATCCAAGAGCCAGTCCAAGGCGCTCTGCTTCGGTCCAGAGACTCGCTGATCTACCTAAACAGATCCATAGATCAAATGGGATGGAGGCTGCCGCCACGAACGAAGCCATATTGGTGGCTTTACTACATCTGGACACTGGTGGTCATAGTACTCGTCTTCATCTTCATACCCTACGGACTCATAATGACTGGAATAAAGGAGTTCAAGAACTTCACGACCACGGATCTGTTTACTTATGTCCAGGTGCCGGTCAACACCAATGCCTCCATCATGAAGGGCATTATAGTGTTGTTTATGCGGAGGCGATTCTCAACGGCTCAAAAGATGATGGACGCTATGGACACTCGGTGCACCAAGATGGAGGAGAAGGTCCAGGTGCACCGAGCAGCGGCTTTATGCAACCGCGTTGTTGTGATTTACCATTGCATCTACTTCGGCTACCTATCCATGGCCTTGATGGGAGCTCTGGTAATCGGGAAGACTCCATTCTGTTTGTATAATCCACTGGTCAACCCCGACGAACATTTCTATCTGGCCACTGCAATTGAGTCGGTCACCATGGCTGGCATTATTCTGGCCAACCTCATTTTGGACGTATATCCGATCATATATGTGGTCATATTGCGGATGCACATGGAGCTCTTGAGCGAAAGGATCAAGAAACTGCGCACTGAGGTGGACAAGGGAGACGATCAGCATTATGCGGAGCTGGTGGACTGTGTGAAGGATCACAAGCTGATTGTCGAGTGAGGAAGCATAGAACGTGGCTAGGTAGATGCCATAATACACCTTGTTGTTCTCGTTAGATATGGAAACATCCTACGGCCCATGATATCAGCCACGATGTTCATCCAGCTGCTGTCCGTCGGACTGCTTTTGGGTCTGGCAGCGGTGTCCATGCAGTTCTACAACACCGTCATGGAGCGTTTTGTTTCTGGGGTCTACACCATAGCCATACTTTCCCAGACCTTTCCCTTTTGCTATGTGTGTGAGCAGCTGAGCAGTGATTGCGAGTCCCTGACCAACACACTGTTCCATTCCAAGTGGATTGGCGCTGAGCGACGTTATAGAAGCACGATGTTGTACTTCATCCACAATGTGCAGCAGTCGATTTTGTTCACTGCGGGCGGAATTTTCCCCATATGTCTAAACACCAATATTAAGGTAAGATTTTACGCCACAGAATAAATGTAAAAAGTATTACTATTGTTAATGCCATCTTTTAGATGGCCAAGTTCGCTTTCTCAGTGGTGACCATTGTAAATGAGATGGACTTGGCCGAGAAATTGAGAAGGGAGTAATTCGGCTTGTGTCAGAAATTCGATCAAATCACTTTTAGAGAGGAAGTTTCCCATTGTGCAAATAAGCAAAGCAAATAAACAAGCAACAAATGTAGATTGTAGATCAGTTTAAACATTTTGCAAAAATTATGGTAATCTCTTAGAGGTCTGGCAAACTGATTGCACCTTGACAAACATAACTGACCTGGCAAACAAAGCAGAACTCCAATTTTACTATTACAGCCTGCCATTATATGGTGGTAAATGGGAAGCCCTCTTATCTGGAGACTGCTCCGTCTCTTGGCACCTGCCGCTGGAGCACTCTGCCCGTCTGGAACTGCCGTCCGGTCCATTACAGTTATGGGCAGTTGGAGGCACTGCTGCACATCTGCGCCGTCTTCTAATTTCGAATCGTGTTCCACAACAGCAACTCCAAGTGCAACACGTACTGGAGAGAGCAAAAAACCACAGCGCCATAAAAACCACAATGGAGCTCCCGGGTTACTCGTGCCGGCGATCGCAAGAAATCAGGAAGGAACCGGACAAAGGAGCGATAGTGAACCGGGAGACGGAGTATATCGACCTCGATGGTGCTACATTCAGGAGGGCATTTCGCGACTTACAAGCTCGTTTTCCCGCTGCTCGGATATCGCATTACCATCCCACTTGTTGCCCGACATCCCCATCATCCCCCAATCCCCCAATCACCCAACCCCCCACTTTCCCACTCCCCAAGCCCAACGATCTGCGGCTAATGATCCCCAACAGTGTCGAATTTCGTGTACATAGTTTATGGTTATGGATTTGCGCACTTGTCAATTGCAGTTCGATCATAGCTAGTACTCGCACTCAGTCTCGTTTTGGAGTCCCAGACAAAGCGAACGTGCAGCTGCATAAATACGGAAAACTGTTTGAAATAGACGGAATCTCCCCTCATTAAAGGTGGTTGTAATAGATGGGATAGGCCTGGAGATCGACTAGGGAATACTGTTAGTTACTGAAAAAGTAAAGGTTAGGAGTGCTGATTATAGCAAGTCAAATGAACTCCAAACTTATATTATGGATAATCTAATAACATTCCGCTGAACTCTTAGTTTCTACTAATTTTTTGACGTGAGTACGAAGTTATGCTATGAATATATAAAATATAATATTTCAGGTACATAGAAGTACAATAACTTTTTTGAGCTTTTTAAAATATGACGTATGTACACGTCTAAGCCCCTTTACACCCACCATAAATTAGCATAAGTCTATTTTTCAACACTAATTGCCACTAGATATTACAAAATGTTGGCTTTAAGTTCTATATATAAGTAGGTTTTCTCAGCCACTGCAGTCAGTTGAAGTCGGGATGTCGGCCAGCAGGGCTATATTATTCGCAGTGGGCTTTTTAGGCCTTATGTTAAGTTTTCTGAGCACTGAAGCTAGGTCATTGGAGAACACCTCTGTCAAGACGGTAGGTAGCTTGTACTCCTTAAACAGATAATACCATCAGCTATATGCTTCAGAAACGGGATACCGACTGGTGGACGCTCCTTGAGGATATAATCTATGACAGTGATAGTGAAAGTGATGATGTCGACAATGAGAATGTTTGTAAGTTGAGATGCCTTCTTGAACTCAGTGACCTGATGATGCGTTTTCAGTGATTTGTCGTAACTGCACGGTGGTAGTTAACGCCGCGCCGAATGCTACATCGGATGGAAGCACTGCAACTCCCCAGCCAGGTGCAGCGGATCCAGGAAATACTCCAGGTTCGCCCGCAACTCCTGCTGGCTCGACTCCAGGAGCTCAAGTCCCAGTTGCACCCGACATGCCTGCTCCGTCGGCACCTGCAACGGCGTCACAACCTGCAGTAACTGTTCCACCCACTGCTGCCACTCCCACAGCTGCCACACCCACAGCTGCCCCTGGGGCATAGATTAACTAACCCTCATACACGCACACCTTATAACACCTCTCTAACACTAGCTATTAAATGGGATTTGGTATACGATAGCTCTGCCCCTGGGTTAGCAACCCATCTGTACTAATAAAGGCGTTCATTCCGTGCGAGCCATAAATCTGTGCGGTTCTCATTCCCAGGCACTTTGAATCCTCAAAATATTGTAACGCAATTGTCTTGACATAAGTCACAACAGATCGGCTGGCACTCGCCACAGACCCACACGCATTGGGAATCGAGTCTGGGGGCTGGGGAGCCAAGTCACCAAGTCGCCAAGTCGCCAAGTCGCCAAGTCGGTGGTTTTTGTGCATTCGGTCTTTTAAGATTTGTGGCGGCGAAAGGAGCAGCTCCCCAACTTGACATTCTGTTTGACATTTGTAATCTCGTGATCGTTAATTATTTACGAATTGAGTTACACGACGAGATGGTCTGTGTGCGGTGCCACAATATCCAGTGCCAGCCAGGAAGACATGAAGTGGAGTCAAAGATCGTGGAAGCGACAAATATAGTTGCATCTCCTACCACACGTCTGAGCTTCTTCCGTAAAGTTTTTTTTAACTATTGATACAAATGGGCTGAATAAATCGGTATCTAAATCGTAACCTCTTATTAAACAAAGATACTTATATACTTTAAACTAAGTTTAGTGTTAAGATCACTTATAAGATCAGATGTTCGTTTTCTCCCGTTCAGTTTTTCTCAATCTGTGCGTTCTTCGTTGGAAATATTCGAAAAATGTCCAATGATGGCTGCAATTTGTTGGTCCCTTCAAGAACATTATCTCCAAGTGCTTGACTTTTGCGCTAAGCGTCCATAAATTTGTCTGAACAAATACTTTCTAGTTGTCGCTGACAAAGATCGACGCTCTTGTTTTCTCCACTTATTTTCCTGCTCGGATCTTTTGAAGATAGCTGCTTCGTTTTAATGGCTTTTCAAATACGCATGACATCAATTTTGGGCAATTACCAAAGATTAATGGCAGCCAAAGTTGAGCACTTGGAGATCAATTATGATATGTGGGCTATGCTACCGATAAGAATCAAGCCTCCGCCTAACCGAAAAATTGGAAAATTAATTGAATCTGCTATCGGTAAGCTGCCTGATTTGGGAATTATCCCAGTGATAGTCCTGCGACTTGGTTCGCCCTCGAGTAGTCATCTTCAAAGATGTGAGTAAGTCTCTCACTTGTGACTTATGGCAGCCAATCGACATCCGGCGAGAATAAAATGCTCCCGCCACATGCAAATTAGTCACGTAATTCCTATTAAAGCAGCACATCGATTTCCCCCGCGATCCCATTGATGAGATGAGTCAAGAGCAAACATGCAACGTGCCCAGTGTCCAAAGCGAATTTGATTGATTTTCTATGTTGTACACGACAGTTATGAGCCATATCGAGGGAAAACATCAAACATCAGTTTTATTTTCGAAAATCATCTCACGGTTTGCCAAGTCTGTGCATAATCTTTAGGATTGGTAGCGACTTGACTCGAAGTTTATCTACCCAACTATTAGCCTCTCCACCAATTAGCCCTACGATTTCCCCGTGGGTCTTTAGTTCCGATTCAATTTGGTCAGAACTTCGAGCCCCCTTTCGAGGGATTACAAGTGCAACATTTCGTCGACCCATCTACGTGGCCACTTGGGCGATGCGTCGGCACTGACTGTTGGTCTTATTAAAGGTGCAAACATGCCACTGGTGTGGCAGTAGAGGTGTGTATACGTATGCGTCCACCCTTCGCGTTGATGGGTATGTGGGTAGGGTATGTGGATGTTCGAGTGCCCAGTGTCGGTCACGATCAGAGGAGCAGTGTGTGTTAGGTGCTACCCTGGTCGCCGTCGCGTTTCGAGTTTGTTTGGATTGCTTGTTTGCCAACGGGAGAACCTTCGAATGCTAAGAGCCAGATTCTGTTTGTTTAATTTTGAGTTACGCCTGCTGCTGGCGTCGATCAAGCTGACTGGGCTACTTTAGCTCTAATAAGGATCCTGCCTGGCTCTCCGACTCCTTGACTTTCCGCTAGTCAGCGCTTAATCAAGGCAAACACACTGCAATCTGGGCCCGTTCCAAGCCGCTCCAAGCAGATCCAAGCCGATCCAAGCCAATCCAATCCGATCTGAGCAGCTTCTGTTAATGAAAGGCAAACAGCTATGGAATTGTGAAGAGGTCGGGCAAACAGCTTAAAAAATCATAAACTCTGCAGCGAAATGGAGACGGAGACGGCTTTTGTCTGATCGGTAAATATTTGCCCATGGATTTTCGTCTCTGGACTCGTAGTCCTTTTGCATCCCCGACGGAAATGGGAAACGGATTCGGTAGCCGACGCTTCTGTATCTGTGTGTTTCGGTACAAATGGCTTACAAATGGCTGTGTTTGCTTTGAAATCCTACACTTTTACTGAGTTCATCACGCCTGCCTCGAGATCCCAAAAACCACACATACAATAGTAATACATGTTGGATCTGTCCATCTTGCTTATTATTTAAAACAACCGTTATTAAACATACTTTACAAAATATGCCAAGATCTCTATTTAAAGGCACATAGAAGAATATTGATTTTTAACTAAATCTATCTTTTCTGAACTTATCGATATCGGTGATTTTATTGTTCCTGTTGCGGCTCCCGTTTTTGAGACCCTCTCCCCGCTTTCAGCATGCCATAAAAGGCTCAATTAAAATTGTCTATACGGCAAAATTATAATTCATAAATTCTGGGAAATTGCCGAATACAATGGCCATCACTGTTTCAACTGGAACTCTGCCAACGATCAGCAAATTACAAACGCAATCCAGAAAGAAATGTCGGCTTTAATGTCCGTATGTTTGTGGGAGTTGTTTTTTTCTTATTTTTGTATTTCTGGTTTTTGTTCTTGGAAATTTTTTAACACTTGCCCTTTCGTCAAAGTTTCGCCGACGGCAATTAAAGTTGCACATACTGCAGCTTAAGTTTTTTATAATTTATTAAAATATCATTAAAGTATTCACAAAAGCCACTGATGCGCGTAAATCCAATTACAGGAGCAATTAACGAATGTAAACTAACTAGAACTAATTAAAAATAATATTTTGCTAAACAAAATGAACGAAAAAGATGGAAAAAAATGATAGCGAGTATGTACATATGTAGTTGCAGTATAGCTGCTGGGTAATCAAAAACTATTTAAAAAGTATGTAAATGCGTTGGTAATTTAATGAGCAAATTTGAATTATTTAATCATATGAACCGAAGCCTAAAGCGAAAAAATATAAAGAAAACAAAATTTTGTAATATATAGTAAATATCAATTCTATACTTTGTTGCAAGCTGCGTCTATGGATTTATTATAAGACTGTCATACTCGTATGAGCATACACATATGTACGTTATTCGTTCTTATCAGTAAGGAAAATTATATATACAATATATTTGCCTTGTCTGCTTGATAAGTTGCCACTAATATTGCAATAAAAAATACTTTGATTCAACTGCATCCGATCGATTGGGTGATTATTTCAGAAACTTGAACGCTGGGAACATGTCAAATGTCGAGAGGCAATGAACTTATTTTCTGCCTAATTGAATTTAACAAATTCAAACATTTCAAGCTGATAAGAGACATTTCGTTATACGGTCATAAAAATACATTGTATGATTTATAACTTTGGATTCGAGTGCATAGGCGAAAATTTAGCAGGCTTCGATGATGACAATAATACTTATCACGCCTATGCGGCTTTTGTTTGTTGAAAATAAAAATGCCATTTAAATTTAATTTTAATTAATAAGCAGGCCGTCAATTAACACGTTTTCACACTAAGCGATGCGTTCTGCGAAAATGGTCCACTAAATTGTATTAAATCGCAGAAAACGTTGAGTAATTGTCTGAATATTCACAACATTAACTGCAAACAAATAATATAAATAATAAAATACCAAAATGGCTGCCAATTTGGATACTTATATTTAGTTCGTTGGGCCCGAATAGAATATAAATTTGGCATGAAATGATGTTTTTGATATTCAGGGCAATACATTTTTTGGGGCCTTCTGGTCTGGTGTTTGATTTGATCAAGAGACATCCCCAAATAAGCAGTCGAATGTTGAAACCAACTTTAAGATACTCTGTAGTATGCATAATATATTTTGTAAAATTGTAAAGATTACTGTACTTCACTTGTCCATCTATTAAACAAAAAAATACATTTCTGTTACCGAATTATCATTTTCTAAGCCCAAATTAGCATATTGATGCGAAAAATTCAATTTATTGGCACACCAAATAAATTCCTTTGTATAGTTCCAGGAAAATCACAATTAGCTTAGCCGTCTAGAACACTTCCTGAAAAGTCGAATCTTGGATGTTACGAGCTTTTAAGAGTACCTTGAAATTGATGTGAGGTATCCTGGTAATTTTGGGAGGGTATAGATGGTATAGATGCATGGCAAATTGGATTCCCCTCTCATAACTATACAATATGTGCGAATGCATTTTCGACTGCGTGTTGCTCCCATAAATCTTGGGTCTTGGCAAGCAATTCCTTCTCCTTCGGAAGACCCAGCAGGTTGATTGACGGAGCGCCGTCGCGATGGGGAGATGCCTTCATATGTTTATTTTCTTAATTCCGCCGCTGGTTGCAGCCTATACAAATTTATATGCATTCGGCATGCAGAAAAAATTAATTTAACAACTCAGTTGACTTGAGCTGAGGCTCAGCCGACGCGTTGCGTATACGCCATGTGGCCCGCCCCTTTTCCACTGCTCGCATTTTCACTGTTTTGTTGGTTGCCCACATTGCTGCGATCCTCATCGACTTATAAATAGTTGAGATTTAATTTTTGTTTTTTTTTTTTTTTGGTATTTTACTAACTACGAGAGAGCTTGTCGACAATTTTGCATTCGGAGCGTTGCACAATTTGCCGCACAATCGCATTTATTTATCAGTAAATTTCACAGAATCGTCGCGCCAAGAGAAAGAGGAAGCCACTCTACGCCTGTCACTTTGATCTGCTGCCAATGCCATTTTCCTTTTTAATCTGCTGCAGAGTTCAAATCGAAGTGTTATCAATGGAAAAGAGTCATGATTGGCATCGCCTTATGTTTACTTAACATCGATCGAAACTGCTTTC